CTCAAAATTTCCAAAATATGTATAATTTTTTGGGAATAATCCATATAAACTATGCTATAAACAAAAGATTGTAGGATTACTTACCGAGTGTGCACTGTCCGGCTACGCCATTGCTTAAGCTTGTTTTCGTCATGGAGCTTGTCATCGAATGGTGCTCACGTGCTTCCTGATAAATTATTTTTTTTTTTGCAAAAAATTCACTGAACTGTGGAGACATTATTAATATAAATATAGTCTTTATGGATGTTAAATAATAAATGGTTTTTAGTAGTACCACTGCTTGTTTAAACTCAATGGTTTGTACAATATCCGCTGTTGGTCTAGGTTCGACAAATCCTGTCACAACACGAGTCAGCGATGACGTTTTACCAAATTATACAAGTTTTTTAGCATGTTTATACAAATACTACCGCAATTTCTTTGCCGTGATATAGGAATCTGAACTATAGGAGCCCATGTTATAGGGGGGTCGACTGTACTGGGTTGAGTGTCGAGTCAATGTCTCCCGTGCTCCTAAAAGTTTCGAATTGTTACCTGAAGACAAGGGAAGACCAATCGGTATTCATTATTTTACGTCGCTTCTTGTGTTTGTTCTGTGAGGTGTCTGAACATAACAAACACTTTCACAAAAGATTTTTATATGATTTGTTCTTAGTCTGAACTGTTCATTAACCAATCACCTGCTGTACTTACAAAAAATACTGTATTATTGATGATAAAGAAAAATTATACTCACACAAAATAAAAATAAATTCAATGCAATTTTTGACATTGCCTTCCTTTTATGATATTGTCAATATCTACTTTTATGGCACTAGTCCTTAATTCTAAAAATGTCAGTTAAATGGGTATTACTCAATTTATCTCTTTTGGCAGTTTTGATGTTTTTCATGCATGAAATGAATTGTTCACAACAGTATATTATGCATGTAGGGTAGTACAGGTTTCTAGTGCCAATTACGTCATTACATCAAAGTGCATCCAGTTTACAACATACTTTACGAAAATAAATAAAAATGTACCTAAAAATTTAGGGTGCAGTGGGTCATGGGATCCCTGATCTAAACTAACAAAATGAAAATAAATTGTTTTAACTCTAGCACAAAAATATATCAATTTCATTCCAAATGAGTTTTATCAAAAAAAAAAAAAAAAGAAATTAAATCTTTATTTATATATTTCTAGTTAACTGAAAATGTACTTTGTATCATTCTAAACAGAAAATTTATGAACTGACACTTGAACTGATAAGATTTTCTGCAGAACAAACTAAATGAAATACAGGTGCAGGAGTTTAAATTACTTTCTTCATTACATTTATTAATATAAATTGGAAAAAGTTTAATAACAAAGGTATATAAATAATAATCTTAACAGATCATAGTATAATTTGGATTTGAATGTGTTGGTTATAGTATTTTAAATTTTACTAATTAATTGAAATAACTGTCCATTGTGCTGTAATCTGTTGTTCATTGTTAGATGCTTAATAAATATTTTCTAGGTAAGTGAAATATCTTGTATTTTCATGCATAACAGATTTTCTATATATGTTGTTATAAGATTGCCCTTCCTTCCATAACTTTGTATACCAAAAAAAATTTAGTGTTTATGCAACCTTCCATACCATATTTAGGGCTTGTTTTGTTACGTATTTTTTTGCATTTTCAGAAAATACAATCATTTCTTGCCATTAAACTGCAATCATCCTTATACAGAATCCTCTAATAAAATAGATATTCATTTAAACTTGAAATCTGCCATTTATATGATTTCCTTGCAGCATTCCTTGAAGTTATATTATAGAGCTGTCAATAGATACATTATTGTACTATTTTATTAAATTTTTTTTATACTATTATCTTTAAATAAGCTAAATGGTATATATTTCTTTAACTATAAGTATAGAATGAACTACATTACATTGGTGGCTTACATTAGAATAAGTCTTTGTTTGGCGAGTTATTTTGACAGGTGTTAGTTGATTGGTTTTTTTGCGAGATTCCTTACTTTAAAATAAGTTTGAAAAAATGTGTAGAATAAAATGTAGATTTGTACTTCGTAATATGCTTAAATTTATATGTAGCAGTTGTTAATGTAGTAAGCGCTCGCTGACTGTGTGTGTCAGAAATATATAAAATTTTAAATACAATTGAATATGATTAGGAATAAAAACTGAAATCTAAGAAAATGAATTCAAAGAAATTTTTTGCTTTAACATTATTATTATTAAAATTTCTTTGTGTAATTTTTATACATTAATAATATAAAATTGTGATTTAAGGTGAAAATGCATGTTTATGGCAACCACACAACATTTCTGAGGCATGTAGCTTTTGTTTTCAATCAGGTGATCACAATCCTCTTAAGTTTTACAAGATATTTAAAGCTTGGAGCTGTGCCACCATACTTTGTAATTCAGGACATAAACAATATAGCATAGAAGTATCTAAATATAATGATTCAGAAAATGAGAAAAATTATAGGGCGAAACATAACTTGAATATTTCATTATAACTTTTGCTTTTGCCATATTTATAAATTAATTGTGTATGTGCATGCACAGGTGTGTGTGTGTGTTTAAACAAAAATGCTAAATTTTTTAAGAATATGTACAGTTTTAATAAATATTTTTGCGTTACAGAAAATATTAATTGGAAAGTTTCTCAAAAATAATGTTGTACTGAAGATTTTTAGATTAAATTTCAGCACCTTCAAGAATTCATAAATTTTAATACCAAAAAATTGCTACAGACTTCTTATTCTTCAAAATTTCAGATTTATTTGATTATATAATTTATTACATGTATTATTATACATGTAATAAATTATATAGGATTATATAATTTATTACATATATTTGATGATAAATAATTTACAAATGAAAATGTTATTTTAAAACACAGTGTACAGTTTGATAATTTTGATTAAGCCAGATTAACCAATTTATAACAATCTAATATCACAATAAAATTCACTTTTTATAGTTAGGTCATCATTTGTGAATTTGTTTTCACATTTAATATTTTATTTGTACTTTCTTATATATGAATTTAGTTAATGGGTGTTGGATAGAAAAAAAAAAACGACTATTTTAAGCAAAAATTTAATTATCCAGATGGCTAGAAGTTCCAATTAATTTGAATAAATGAATTTTACCGTACATGTATATCATAAAGATACACTTGTACATCTTTGTACATCAGATTACAAACAAGTAAATGCAGATGACTCGCAGCTGTGGCAGGTGCAGTACCATTTGTGCCAGCTTTCTGTCACTAATTGTACTATTGTAAAGAATGAAAATATTCTTTTGGTTGTGTTATATTTGACTAGATGTGATACAAAATTGTTATATTTGTAAAAGTCAGTAGTCCACCAAGAATTAGATGTTTACTAACAGGTAATGCTCTAAATAACTATGAATGGTGGTGCTTCAAAAAGAAATTTTGTTATTAAGGTAGAACCCGATTAATCGAGGTTTCCTATTATCCGAGGCAAACCTGTAAGTAAATACACTACTTTCTTTTATGAATTACAATGTAAGAAAAGTTATAAACAATAAACAGGTATTACAAAATTATTTGTTTCTATTAACTTTTATCATTTAACTTTGTTGTGAGACAAAACATTCTTATTAAAATGTAACTACTATAATACACATTTTAATTAAAACTATTGTACATGTGTTACTGTATAATAAACGATGTAAAAATTGTGATTATTATACACGATTATATTCACTAAAGTATAAAAATATATCTATATTTGTAATTTTTAATCCAAAACTGTCATGGCCACCCATTTTATCAGTGTTTTCGATTATCCAAGGTATTGCGGTCCACATTACCTCAGATACAGTTCTATTGTTTATTTTTTTTTATGCCAAAAATCAGTCATTTTTATAATTTAAATTTACATTATTCTTACGTAGTGTCAAATTTATTTTGGGTTTTCAAAATTACCACAATCTTTATCATTTTTCTTATACATCCTATATATATATATATATATAGGTGTATAAGAGATAGTTTCATTCCAGATGCTTGTAGTAGTCAGGCTCTATCTACATTTGCTGGCCATGGAACATCAAATCTGAGCTCAGAACCCAACTATTAATCATTCTTGTTACGACATTCTTGTTAACCCAACTATTAATCTTTGTTAAGATGTTAGGTCTGTAATTTTTGTCTTTATCATCTTTAAATTAATTTACTATATATTATGGGGGTTTTTTTTTATCATAAAGCAGCTATTACTATTGACTTTATCATAAAATATATATATTGTCCATTAAAAACAAGCATGCAGATGATGACAATGAACTGAACATTGAAGATGTTTCATGCATTTGTGCTTAGTTTAAAAATATTTCCTTTTGTCATCATTGACGCGTATGTTCTTAAGGGCAATTTGATTAATTTGGTCAGTAAATAAGCTCAATTATATGAATTTATGTAATTGTATTTACGGTATTTTATTTTGTTTTGACTTCCTAATTTACAGAACTTAATTATCTGTCTACTGAGAATTTACATAATGATAGTTATTTTTACTTCTATAATTATTGGTACTTATCTTGGTACATATTATATTTCAATTTGTTCTATAATTTTATATAAAAAATAAACTATTTTTACAGCTGTTTTAATCATTAAATGTTTTTGACTATATAGAACAGCTTAAAGTATAATTATTTTGTGAAGAAAATAGTCAGACTTCTGGTTTTGAGTGCCTTACTTTTTGAACAAATTCGGTTTATGAACAAAATTTTGAACTCTTTGTTTTTTGTCCCAGTTGCCATATGATAACTCTGTTACTAAACAAGCTATTTTGCAGAGCCAGCCACTGTGGTCAACTTCCTACACTTACTATGTTAAAGAAAGTCAATGATATTATAAAGAAAAAATTAAATATTACACTTTGTAATTATTGATTATATAACATTTTTGTTCTAAATATGTTTTATAGACATTCTAATTTTTCTTCTTCTTGTTTAGGCACATTTTGATGCTGATCAGTTTGAAAAGAAAATTCCCAATAAATTAAAACCGAATGCAATACCAACTCTCTTTCCTCACACAAAACAAAAGAAACCTAGAGAGTACACGTGGAAAGAAAATCCTTCTTCCAAGTCTGTCGATTTGGATCATGCCTACGCTCGGAGACTTTCTTTCCAGAAATCATCAGCATCTTCAGGTATTTGTGAATGTTTTTCTTTTTTCAATAATACCTTAATTCTCCAGTACAAAACAAAACTGACTAACATTTTCAATCTAATACTAAGATCTTTATCAAGTCAATTAACGTTCCAATATTTAAAATGCAAATTGAACAATGACATATTACAAAAGTAAGAAGAAAAATATTTAAAAATAGTGTGAAATTTCATGCCTATATAGTAAACATACAAATAAAATTATTTTACATTAATTATTTATTGCTAAACAGAATAAATGGTGTTAATGTGACGTAACGATTCAGTGTGGACAATACAACAACATAGTACAAAAAGGAATGGATTGTAACCATTTAATACAAACAACCTTTTTATAATTGTGAAAATTATGTATATCATATATGAATTATGTGATACATAAAGACATTCATTAACCTATCCCATGTTGAAATTTTTCTGTTGTGTGTGGCTGCCAGGTTGAATTTTTGTCAATGTTAAGCTAACGAAAATTTTTTTAAAATAATAGTTCTGGCTACTCTGTATCATTAAAAATTACTTTTCTTAATTTGCACAAACAAAATAAATATATTGCAAAATATAAAAACAAAAAAAAATTATATATTTCAAAAGCTCGTTTTAATATAAAAATTATGATGCATAGAGACATTAGTATCAAAAACATTCCAATACTGTAATGAGATATATTGGATTTAACCCTGCGGGTCAAAGGTCACGACCTCAATATATATCGGGAATAACACAGGTGAGGTTAAAAGGGATAGTTGAGTACAGTATCACTTCACATCATACTTGCATCAAACGTCACATCACATTTCACATAAAAGCTTTGCCATGCATATGACATGCTCTTTTCTTCCTTGAAGTTAATGAATATCTCTTTTGCTTGTGAATTGTGCTTCCAGTGTTCTAATGTATTCCAATTTGTTGGCTCTTTTAATGATGATGGCATTGTGGAGATTAGCATCTACTGTACATCATTATCTGTTGCATATATTGCAAGGACTGTGGTATGTTTCTTGTTAGTAATCTTATATCTAAGTTCAGCTAGACGTTTACATAGGGATTGTTTAATAGATCCTATCTATTCAAGATCTTTATTGAATCTGTCATCCCTTATGGGGAACTTTGTATACCTTTGTACCTCTCCTTGTTGACTGCATTTTTTCCATTGCAAAGTAGTTTGTAAACCATGGGATTATGTCTGTATACCATACCGGCCTCTCTTTTAGCAGCTACTTCCTTGTATTACAAGTTCATATCATGGTCAAAATCTACTAAGATGCACATAGAGTTGTTGGAGTGTGTTACGATGTCTATAACAGATATATATATGGCTATTATATGGTTATGGGAAAACTTATTGTTCATTTGTGTAAGCCCTGGCTAAATTGCAAATCAATCCTTTTTCATAACCATGAAATGTAGCAATTTGTTCTAAATGTTTCAGTTCTTTTAATGTTTCGTTCGTCTAAATAAGTGCAGTGTGTAAAAGCTCTAATTGTAAGGGCTCTGAAAGCAGTTATTTTATACATGAGTGGGTCTGCAAAGTAAACCCAGGATAAACCACAATGTGACTTGGATTATAGTAGACATTAGTGTATATATGTTTATTTTTAGCATGAATACTGAGATCTAAAAAATGACCCTGGGTATTACTTGCCTGATCTAACTGGAGTGTGAGCCCATATGGATTATCATTCATACACTGCAAGAAGTTATTCGAGCTTGTTACACTGCAATTTGAAGCTTGTTTTTCCAGATAATCATTATATCATCTACATACCTTTTGTATGTGGTTATCTTCAGAAGGAATAACTTTAAAACATTCGTCTTTAAAAGGTGAGCTACCATTTCTCAAAGATCACCCGAAGGGGGCTTTCCATAGGAACTCCTCTCTTTTCCACATAAGCGTTGTTGTTAAACAGGAAAAAGAGGAGTAACACAATAAATGTGCCAGTTCTAGGACATTGTGGTATACAGGATCTTTTGATTTCTGTAACAACCAATCCCCGAGAACACAGAAGCATGGTTGTAGTTCGACAGATGGGTATAAAGCAACAAAGTCAAAAACTGTTATATGAGCCATTACTAGTTATATGGATATGTTTCGACCAGTTGTGTAGAATTATTCAGTTTTTTTATAATTCTTTAAATTGGCAGCAAGCATGTCATGTATTGAATTTTTTAACAAGTGAGTAGGGGATCCTGATTTGTCAACCACCGGTTTCAAGTTAAATCCAGTTTATGTATTTTATCAAAAGTGAATAATCTTGGTATATCTGGGGATGGGGCCACAGCCATGCCCAAATTTAACCTATTAGCAAGAACAGGCTGAGTAAATCTGATAACTCTTGTCTGTAGCTTATCAATGTATCCGTCTTCAACTGGATCACTTTCTGTGTCAATGATGTGTTTGTCCATTAGTGTGTTGTATGCTTTTATAGCAATACGAAAGTTTTGCTCTTATCAGCTTTTAAAAAGGGTGATATTATTGTCGTGTTTTGCATATTCATATATTGTTTCAAAACTTCCGTAGCATGTTTTCTTGTTCACATCTCTCATTATGAAAGCAGCCTCTCGTTTATAGAACACTTTTTGGCTGTCTTACATGCCTGTTATTAGCTTCTTCATGTTCGACATTAATTTGGATATTATTTATTTTTAAATACTTTTTATCTTAGTTTTGTAATATGTCATTGATCAATTTGCATTCCAAGTATTGGAATGTGAATTGACGTGATAAAGATCTTAGTATTAGATTGAAAACATTATTTGTTTTGTACTGGAGAATTAAGGTATTAAAGAGGTTATTTTACAGTTTGGCTTCTATGATTAGTATAAATTTTCTGAGATGACAGTATGAAATATCATATTTAAATATATTTTATTGTTGCCTATCTCCATGCCAAGCATTTCCAGGAATGTAATTTTAGTCAGATATTGAATGTATGGGAAATAGGACTGCTGATTCATATATTTTCCATTTGCAATTAGGTTATAGAACAGAGATCTATAGTAAATACAAATGGAATAAAATAAATTCTAAAGTTTTTGTATTATATTTATTTTCAGATAAACAATTTTTGAAATACTTTTGTTTTGAATGTAAGATAATAACTAGTCTTTAGAACAGTATTGTTTCTATTAATACAAGTTTTTTTATCTTTAAAATGAATGGTTTACTATGTGATGCCGGTTCTAGTAAATAATGTTTCTATGTATAGTTGAAATTTATATGCAGTCTTCAAATTTATAACTGTAATTTGGAAAACAGTATGTGCACAACATACTGCTATAAAACCAAGCTTTATTTTGTTAGGAAATATTATACTGTTCTATGTAAAAGCTTTATTGTATAATTTAACAAATAGTTAAGTATATAACATCTATTTTATTTAGAATATACAGTGTGGTCGTAAAGTCCCTCTGCAAAAGCATGTTAAAACATAGCTTGGCTGAGCCTTGTCATAAGTTACTTTAACTCTTTTGATGTATGGTCTTTCCATGTCATTACTTCATTCCCGGAGACTCCTCCTGTTTTTACCTGCAGATGGAATTTATGATTACACTGTAATATATTTTTGAATGCTGTATATGTAGTCTACTATAGTTGTTACATAGAAAGGCACAGATAAGCTCCAGGAATGAGTCTTATATCATTTTTGGCGTTCCCTTTCTGTGCAGAGAAATGTTTGGATCGCTATATTATTGTCTACTCTGGGTGACGGTAATACAACCTCCAACCACAGTTTTTTACTCTGTCTTAATCTCAAATTCATTTTTCAGTTAATATTGATTTATTCTCCTATAATAATTTCTAGTTGTCATTTACCCTTTTAAGAGCTTACAATAAGAAAAATTCATATTTTACTATATATTTAGCATATTGCATTACAGAATAAAATGCTAACATTTTCTTAATATTGCATAATAGATCTTCACAATCATGCGCTTAATGTCAAGGAAGAATCTGAGCCTGCGGCCTACAATAATAATTCCAAGATTGTTCAAGACTTAAAGTTTAAGGATACGAGTGAAATGATTGAAGAGAGAGAGAGATTTAATTCTGCTGAAAAGGAACAAAACAGTAATGTAAGTGTAATGATAAAGTTTTCTTTGTCTTATATCATCTGTGAAGCAGACAAAATAATGGCACACAAACTGGAACAATATACTAAATTTGTCACCTAAATGCTAATTGCAATAAAATGAACAAATAAACTTTAATGCTTGAATGTTTTCGGCTGTCTATCAGAGGCCCTCATCAGGAATGTACGAAACACAAAACAACAGTTCTATTTTTTGAAAGAATGAATTTTAATGCTCAGCCAAAAATGTTCGAGCATTAAAGTTTATTTGTTCATTTTATTGCTGGAATTAGTGTTGTGAGACCTGAAAGGCTCCTGGGTCTAAAATAATTTTATTAATAATGTTAATATTTTGTCATAAAATATTATTTCATTTTTGGTGAGAAAATAATGTTTTAAACGTGGGAAAAGGCAGATAACAGATGCTACTTCCTTTCACAGAAGTTAGAACATCCTCTGACTTTCCCTTATCTGGTTAAAATCCCGCTCAGATGGGAAATGCTTACCCCTCATTCATTCCCCTTTCAGCCGTTCTCATGAAAGAATCTCTGTCTGATGATTGGTCGAAAATCAGCAGATATAGAGGAAATTTGTCAGAATTCGGGGAGTTCACCGACAGTTCTGCAGGTGTCCGGACTCCATACATTTTCCTCCTGATGACCAACGCCCTTAGACGAGTCACATAGAGAATAATTCCCGAGTTAGCACTTGGAAGTTATACTTTGATTTTGTGCACATATTAATCTCCCATGGAAAGAAGTAAATGAACTTTATCTCCAAAGTGTCCCTTGCCTACAGAGAAGAAAACGAACGACAACTAAAACAGGTTGTATGTTTCTAACGATTTTGTGAGCTCTCTCTCTCGATCGCGCATTGGGTATAAGTACATATATCTCTCGATTTGTATCTTATGTGTAGTAGTTCTAACTCTCGTTCATACATATTTTGTATTACTTTGTATTTTCTTATGTTTTATTAAATTTATTATTATTTAGTTTATAATTAAAATGTCTCTTAATTTGAATTGTAATAAGATTACTTCACGTGTGTTAATCTGCGTGTTATAAGATTGATTAACTGGTGTCACAGGAATCCTGACGTAGATCCGAATCTCGCGATTAGGATCGTTTATAACAGCCCTCCTATAAAAAAGTAAGAGAACTGGTCTTACCGACTAGTGCTAGTAAGTGGCGTAACCTACTTTACGTCCTGGCTGATCTCACAGTGTTTAGCTGTCAAATTGTTTGCTCATCTGTAAAGATTGATTTTTTTTAAACAAAAGGAGATTCCTTATATTGGTTAATGCAAAACTGTTTAATTTTCTTTTTCTGAGCTATTACTAAATAAAATACGGAATAATATATTTGCTTTGAATACTTTGTCATATTATTTGCAGAAAAATTGATGAGTAAAATGTGTATATGAATAGCAACATGTAATGGATGATGATAATTTACTCATACATTGATTTTTGGAGATGGTTCGGTTACAAATAATAGAAAACTTCATTACTTATAAATAGAACTTCCAATTTTGAGTAACTTTATACAGTAAAACCTGTCTATGGCCACCATCCATGGTTTATTCAAAAAGTGGTCTTTTAGACAGGTGGTTGTCCAATACAGTGGTGCTATAATACCGTATTTCTGTATGTATTTTGTGCACTTTTTAGCCATTTCTACTAAGCAAAACTCGAGGTGAGCAAAAATAAACACATTTTTCAACGATAGAACTATAGGTCTGTTGGTATTGTATTTTATTATTATCGGATAACTCAATTTACAGGAGTCATCGTGATTTTATAAGAGATTTAATACCAATATTTTAAAGATTAATAGAATACTCGCATTTTCTCAATTATAATGCACATTTTCTTTTTTCTGACTTAATTCAACTTTGTTCTTTTCATTCGCTCCTCAGTGTATTACATCATTGATATACAACTGCGTCATATCTCTCTATTACTTTGGTTTTAGTTTTCATTAAATTAATCTTATTTTAACTTTAAAAACACTGTATTTTTTAATATTTAATATTTTCTTAAGTATAATAAGAAAAATTATTAATTAATAATAAAACGATTTTATTATTTTTTCTCATAATACGATTTTATTACATTTCAAAAAAGGAAGGCTGCCTGTAAAACTGATTTTTGCGTTAATGCGTTTATTGTTTTTGAACATTTTGTGTGCAAAACTTACTTGGATATTATTTTTCTAAAAATATCACGGAAATAAAGTAGGTTGATACAGAAACTATTTATTGCATATGTACTGTATATGAGTTTCAAAAAAATAAAATAATTTTATGAAACGATGAAACCAGCCGATTAATTGTATCGTGTACAATATTTTATACCCCTAAGTAGGTCTACGGTAAAATAAATTTCGTTTTCCCACAGTTAAACTTTGTGGCTAATTGCTGTTGTGATAAACCATTTTCACTTTCTCTGGTAACTTTAGTTACCCATTCTTCTAACAACAGCATTTTGCATTTCTTTCGTTTTTGGACAATTTCGAACAAACTGAAATGAATTTCCTTTGTTGCTAGACTAATTCATTAACACCTGCACCTAATTTCAAGGGTGGGAGAAGTGCTCGAGGTGGGTTTGAACAATTGTAATTAATTACATTAGGATGGGAAAACATTGTTGAGATGGGTTTGAACAATAGTTTAGACCAGATATATTTGCAGAAGTGGTCGCTTATTACAGATGATGTATGTTGTTTCAGACCAAAAATCGATGCCCATGGTTGTGTTACACAGGTGGTCGTTTAATTAATACAGGTAACTTATACGAAGACTCTATGTATAAACTATTCCATGCCAGAAATTTTTGCCCATTTTGACAGGTGCCTGTCGAATGCAGGTGATTGCCTAAGCAGTGTTCACTGAACCTTGTTAATTATATTTCTTTCCATATTGAAATTTTTGCTATTTTTAAGAGATATTAATTAATATTTTTTTTTTTTTTTTAGGATGAAGATTATAGTGCAGAATATCTACACTTCTCTGATGATGTGGGAAATCTTCAAAGTAATAATTCAAATCATAGAGAAACTAGAATTTCTTACTATGATTTTTCAGATACGCCTAATGCTAAAACTTCACAAACGGTACGTGTTAATTTCCTAAATATTTTTCTGTTTTTAAGAAGAATATTTTACTAATTACTTGCAAGGTATGCATTGTAAATTATATTGGCAGATAAAAGTATTGCAATTTTCTTGATTTTAAAACATTCTGCTAATAATTGTTTAGAAAACTTTAGTAATTTTGAAAAAAACAATGAATTTTCCAAGTCAGCTTTAGAGTAAATGGTAGATTATCAAAATTAGATATAAAAATTTTAATGTGCACATTGACAATGATAAGAACAATTGTATAGATAAAATGTAAAAGAAAAAACAGAGGATTAACATTATCATTATTTAATGTAGTTTGTTTTAGGTCTGACAGAGATGTCTAGTATTGTGGGTGTTTTTGTAATTCATTTTATTTCTGATCTTTGCCTGTCATTGTGAATTAAGAATGGTTCTGAAGTTAATAACAAGTTAAATCTTCATTATCTCCAATCCTACTTGAGATACAATACATTACCCCCTTTATCTCCTCCTTCCACATTTAACCACCAAAATTTAATAGCATTAATCCCACTAATAAGAAAAACCTCCCTGCAAAATTTCAGAAATTTTCAATAAAAACCATAAAAGTTATTAAGCTTGAAAGAGGTTAAACAAAATTATGTCCCCACATTTTCACTAACATTCATATATACAGAGAAAACCCTGAAATGTTGCATTTCTCCACATTTCAAGGTTCTCTGAATCCAAAAATGAAAAATTTTTGGGGAGTCATTTTTTTGACTTATCACCATACTTTTCCTCTGTTATATATAACAAAGCCTGGAAACTTAAAATTAAATGCCGTAATTGCTGATCGTTGCATCAAATATTTTCTATTTATGTTTAATAATAGGTTATTTATTTATTATTACAACACAGTGTATAGTTAGAACATTAGTTGCTTGAAAAGTATATATACAAATATATATTTAATTTTTATTCCATGCTAAATTATTTATAACCTTATTAATATTGCTATATAAGATTTTGTACATTATATCATACTGAAAATCATTCTCTTACTCTTATATTAAGTGCTACGAAAAATAAATACGTAGATTCTTATTATAAAAATTGTAAATATTTAAAAAAAATTTTATTTACAGTCGCAAAATATGAAGGCTCTTAATTATAACAACAGCAGCAGTGTTGATTGGCAGAATTATTTTTCTTTTGATGAAAATAGTTTTGAGTCATACGAAAATGAGGAGTTTTGCGAAAATGATGACACTACTTCAGAGTCGGACAGTCTAGAATATGTATTCAAAGAAAATGGAACCGAAAAAGGTAAATATAATTCAGAAGTTTGTATAATGAATTAAATCTGTTTTGTTTAAAAGTTTCTAAACTTCTTCTCAAAAGATTGAGTGTAATTTTGGCTATAACAAATATGTAACATGATCTTTAACTTCTTTCTTAATTTCATTCCATCATTTTGAGAAAATGCTGTGCATTTATAGAGGTCCTCTTTTTATATTTAATTGTATAAAATATTTTTTGAACCTTTGGTAGTTTATCATAAGACCCTCTAAAAACGTGTTCCAACAAAAGAATGTCTATTTAGGCATTTTTCCCTGTTAACGATTTGATAAACTTCTGTGTGAGGAATAAAATTTCATCAGTTTTATGGCCGTATTCTATAAACTGAGTTAAACAGAGTTGATGAACCAGTTTAAATTTGACTCAGAGTTAAATTTAAACTGTGTCTTTTTTAACTAAATATGAGTTAAATTTAAACTGTGTCATATTTTTAACTAAATATGACTGTAGGGTTTTGCTACTCTAGACTTAATGTTTTAAAATACTGCTGTGTTTGAGATTAAATAAGTCTTAATATGACGATTTTAGTCTCTGTAATCCAAAAATATTCTTGGTAGACAAATCTCACAGCAGATTGCTGTGAGATTTGTCTACCAAGAATATTTTTGGATTACAGAGACTAAAATCGTCATATTAACTATTATACAGCAAACCATTTATATATATTTTAAATAAGTCTTGTTTTGAAAGCAGTGTCTTGATTTGTTTCAAGCAAACATGCTTATGGGAAATGATGGAAACATAGATTGACGTTAATGCAGTTCATAATTTCAGTAGTTTCGAGAAAGAATTACTACAATAATTAGTAGGAAAGCATAAAATATTAATAGAAAATAAGAAAAGCAATACAATTTTATCATTCTTTGAGAAAGATAAAATTTAGTTTAAAATAAAAGTTTTATTTATGAATTAGAACATCTTAAAAGAGTTTACATACTAATTATAATATCTAAGTTGTGTTGATGTGGCACAATATAAATTTGTGCCAAATTATTTGCTTTTTGGAAAGTAAGATGATTTCATAGGAAATTAATGGCTTTTCTGAACTCTGTGCAGAATTTGTCTGGGTTCATCTAGTCTGAGGCCTATTCATAAATACAAGGTCTGTTCAAAAAGTATCAGACCTTTTTTTTTCCGCGTAAACCAATGATGCGCGAGAGGCCTCCTTCGGTGGAGTTGTGGAGGGGACAGTCATGCACAGCCCTGAATTTTTTCCCACCAGCAGGAAGCGTCAGTCGTTGGCAATTGGCCTATGAGTGAGGTCATGTAGTGCTCTCTTGTCGGATTCCACTAAGCTGGAAAATTACTGAACAACGTGAGCAGCGATATTACATCAAATTTTCCCAAAAACCTTGGCGATACTCGAGCGTAAACTATTCGCAAGATTCAGCAGGCTTTCGGGGACGATCCTCGAGGCCAAAAAAAGCGCGGCAGGTCCACATCAATATCAAAGGTCATGTTGACGGTTTTTCGACTCTCGTGGGGTGGTGTGTCGTGAGTACGCACCACAAAGCCAAACCATCGCAAAGGAGTACTACCAGGAGGTCCTTCGTCGTCTTTCCGATACAGTGCGACNTCGATCGCGCATTGGGTATAAGTACATATATCTCTCGATTTGTATCTTATGTGTAGTAGTTCTAACTCTCGTTCATACATATTTTGTATTACTTTGTATTTTCTTATGTTTTATTAAATTTATTATTATTTAGTTTATAATTAAAATGTCTCTTAATTTGAATTGTAATAAGATTACTTCACGTGTGTTAATCTGCGTGTTATAAGATTGATTAACTGGTGTCACAGGAATCCTGACGTAGATCCGAATCTCGCGATTAGGATCGTTTATAACAGCCCTCCTATAAAAAAGTAAGAGAACTGGTCTTACCGACTAGTGCTAGTAAGTGGCGTAACCTACTTTACGTCCTGGCTGATCTCACAGTGTTTAGCTGTCAAATTGTTTGCTCATCTGTAAAGATTGATTTTTTTTAAACAAAAGGAGATTCCTTATATTGGTTAATGCAAAACTGTTTAATTTTCTTTTTCTGAGCTATTACTAAATAAAATACGGAATAATATATTTGCTTTGAATACTTTGTCATATTATTTGCAGAAAAATTGATGAGTAAAATGTGTATATGAATAGCAACATGTAATGGATGATGATAATTTACTCATACATTGATTTTTGGAGATGGTTCGGTTACAAATAATAGAAAACTTCATTACTTATAAATAGAACTTCCAATTTTGAGTAACTTTATACAGTAAAACCTGTCTATGGCCACCATCCATGGTTTATTCAAAAAGTGGTCTTTTAGACAGGTGGTTGTCCAATACAGTGGTGCTATAATACCGTATTTCTGTATGTATTTTGTGCACTTTTTAGCCATTTCTACTAAGCAAAACTCGAGGTGAGCAAAAATAAACACATTTTTCAACGATAGAACTATAGGTCTGTTGGTATTGTATTTTATTATTATCGGATAACTCAATTTACAGGAGTCATCGTGATTTTATAAGAGATTTAATACCAATATTTTAAAGATTAATAGAATACTCGCATTTTCTCAATTATAATGCACATTTTCTTTTTTCTGACTTAATTCAACTTTGTTCTTTTCATTCGCTCCTCAGTGTATTACATCATTGATATACAACTGCGTCATATCTCTCTATTACTTTGGTTTTAGTTTTCATTAAATTAATCTTATTTTAACTTTAAAAACACTGTATTTTTTAATATTTAATATTTTCTTAAGTATAATAAGAAAAATTATTAATTAATAATAAAACGATTTTATTATTTTTTCTCATAATACGATTTTATTACATTTCAAAAAAGGAAGGCTGCCTGTAAAACTGATTTTTGCGTTAATGCGTTTATTGTTTTTGAATATTTTGTGTGCAAAACTTACTTGGATATTATTTTTCTAAAAATATCACGGAAATAAAGTAGGTTGATACAGAAACTATTTATTGCATATGTACTGTATATGAGTTTCAAAAAAATAAAATAATTTTATGAAACGATGAAACCAGCCGATTAATTGTATCGTGTACAATATTTTATACCCCTAAGTAGGTCTACGGTAAAATAAATTTCGTTTTCCCACAGTTAAACTTTGTGGCTAATTGCTGTTGTGATAAACCATTTTCACTTTCTCTGGTAACTTTAGTTACCCATTCTTCTAACAACAGCATTTTGCATTTCTTTCGTTTTTGGACAATTTCGAACAAACTGAAATGAATTTCCTTTGTTGCTAGACTAATTCATTAACACCTGCACCTAATTTCAAGGGTGGGAGAAGTGCTCGAGGTGGGTTTGAACAATTGTAATTAATTACATTAGGATGGGAAAACATTGTTGAGATGGGTTTGAACAATAGTTTAGACCAGATATATTTGCAGAAGTGGTCGCTTATTACAGATGATGTATGTTGTTTCAGACCAAAAATCGATGCCCATGGTTGTGTTACACAGGTGGTCGTTTAATTAATACAGGTAACTTATACGAAGACTCTATGTATAAACTATTCCGTGCCAGAAATTTTTGCCCATTTTGACAGGTGCCTGTCGAATGCAGGTGATTGCCTAAGCAGTGTTCACTGAACCTTGTTAATTATATTTCTTTCCATATTGAAATTTTTGCTATTTTTAAGAGATATTAATTAATATTTTTTTTTTTTTTTAGGATGAAGATTATAGTGCAGAATATCTACACTTCTCTGATGATGTGGGAAATCTTCAAAGTAATAATTCAAATCATAGAGAAACTAGAATTTCTTACTATGATTTTTCAGATACGCCTAATGCTAAAACTTCACAAACGGTACGTGTTAATTTCCTAAATATTTTTCTGTTTTTAAGAAGAATATTTTACTAATTACTTGCAAGGTATGCATTGTAAATTATATTGGCAGATAAAAGTATTGCAATTTTCTTGATTTTAAAACATTCTGCTAATAATTGTTTAGAAAACTTTAGTAATTTTGAAAAAAACAATGAATTTTCCAAGTCAGCTTTAGAGTAAATGGTAGATTATCAAAATTAGATATAAAAATTTTAATGTGCACATTGACAATGATAAGAACAATTGTATAGATAAAATGTAAAAGAAAAAACAGAGGATTAACATTATCATTATTTAATGTAGTTTGTTTTAGGTCTGACAGAGATGTCTAGTATTGTGGGTGTTTTTGTAATTCATTTTATTTCTGATCTTTGCCTGTCATTGTGAATTAAGAATGGTTCTGAAGTTAATAACAAGTTAAATCTTCATTATCTCCAATCCTACTTGAGATACAATACATTACCCCCTTTATCTCCTCCTTCCACATTTAACCACCAAAATTTAATAGCATTAATCCCACTAATAAGAAAAACCTCCCTGCAAAATTTCAGAAATTTTCAATAAAAACCATAAAAGTTATTAAGCTTGAAAGAGGTTAAACAAAATTATGTCCCCACATTTTCACTAACATTCATATATACAGAGAAAACCCTGAAATGTTGCATTTCTCCACATTTCAAGGTTCTCTGAATCCAAAAATGAAAAATTTTTGGGGAGTCATTTTTTTGACTTATCACCATACTTTTCCTCTGTTATATATAACAAAGCCTGGAAACTTAAAATTAAATGCCGTAATTGCTGATCGTTGCATCAAATATTTTCTATTTATGTTTAATAATAGGTTATTTATTTATTATTACAACACAGTGTATAGTTAGAACATTAGTTGCTTGAAAAGTATATATACAAATATATATTTAATTTTTATTCCATGCTAAATTATTTATAACCTTATTAATATTGCTATATAAGATTTTGTACATTATATCATACTGAAAATCATTCTCTTACTCTTATATTAAGTGCTACGAAAAATAAATACGTAGATTCTTATTATAAAAATTGTAAATATTTAAAAAAAATTTTATTTACAGTCGCAAAATATGAAGGCTCTTAATTATAACAACAGCAGCAGTGTTGATTGGCAGAATTATTTTTCTTTTGATGAAAATAGTTTTGAGTCATACGAAAATGAGGAGTTTTGCGAAAATGATGACACTACTTCAGAGTCGGACAGTCTAGAATATGTATTCAAAGAAAATGGAACCGAAAAAGGTAAATATAATTCAGAAGTTTGTATAATGAATTAAATCTGTTTTGTTTAAAAGTTTCTAAACTTCTTCTCAAAAGATTGAGTGTAATTTTGGCTATAACAAATATGTAACATGATCTTTAACTTCTTTCTTAATTTCATTCCATCATTTTGAGAAAATGCTGTGCATTTATAGAGGTCCTCTTTTTATATTTAATNCAGGGAAAGTTATAAAACAGTTGGGTGCTAATGACTTTGTGAAAGGGAATAGTTCTACACTTAGAAACTTCAAAAGAAGAGATTTGACCTGTACCGTCCGCGGGCCGCATAAACATTGATAAGGGGCCGTATGTGGCCCGCGGGCCGCAGGTTGTGCACCCCTGATTGAAATATAGTTTGAAAATATTATTTTTCGCAGCAGTATGAATGATGTAGTATTCACAAACAATAAGTGTTAAGCAATGCTGAACTTCTAGAAATGCAGATTATAATGTTTAAATAGTGTTGTCCATATTTGTGGAATTTCTAGAGTTGTTGCATTGCACAGTGTAAGAGTGCTTGTGAGCTTATCCAAACTCTAAACAGTCACCGTTTGTAACACAACATGTAAGTGTAACCTCTATACACTTTTTACACTTTGTATTAAACAAAAGTGTAAAATGTATTTTTGTAAAAGAACAACTGGTTAATGTATGTTATCTAAAAAAAATTATTGTGGTGCCAAGTTTTTCATAAAATATATAAAAAATAATATATTATTACTATTACTGTAGTGCCAGGTTATAACCAATTTCCATAATAATAATAAATAAACATTATTACATACATACATATATATATATATATATATATGTGTGTGTGTGTGTGTGTGTATGTGTGTAACAATATGAACAAAAACATGTATAACAATAAATATCAAAAATTATAGCTTTTACATTTTCAAATTCTTGAAACCAAACTAAAGTTTTTTCTGTTATATTTAAGTAAGGCGCTGCTTGATTAAGGAAACCAAAAGCCAGAATTTATTCAAGCAAGCAGTGTATTTTACTTTGAATTTGATTTCCTTTATCATTAAAGAAATTATTTTTTCATACCACTTTACATAAATGAAAAGTTTAAAATTTATTTTACTTTGGACTTAACCAAAACTTACCATCTGAATTTGGTGTCTGTGTAATATATTTAAATGATTAGTATTGAAAGTTTGAATAATTTTTTTTATTTTATAGGATTAAGAAAGCACAAAGATGAGATTTACAATGGCACAAAGACTCCAAAAAATAGAAATATATACATCTGTGGTGTGTGCAATGCAAAATTTTTCTCTCTATCAAAATTAACCGCACACAAGTGCATTGACGAGGAAGAAAAAGATTTTAAGTGTAAATTCTGCCAAAAGGAATTCTTTCAGCGTCAAACTTTCAGAATTCATATGAAAATCCACGGTGGACAGAAACACGTTCGGTGCGACTTCTGTGCAAAGAGAAGATTTACTACGAGAGCTCTTCCAATACAAATGAGATATAGTTCTGCTCAAATACTAAGGAAAAAGCTTCTGAAATTATGTTTAAAAAGATTGTGGATTAAAGATATCAATGCTTTGAACTCTCAGTTAGAAATAAATAAAGACTTGAATATTGAAGAAAACAATTTTACTCCAGAATTAATTTTCCATCAAGAAACTCATTTGGAAGATAGCTCATTTCAATGCGAAATCTGCAATAGGTATTTTAGACAGAAATCTCATTTATCACAACACAAACTATATCATTCCAATGAAAAATTGCATAAGTGTCAGTTTTGTGAAGAGAGTTTTACAAAAAGAAAAGATTTAATGCAACACGCGAACTGCCATTCAGAAGAAAGAGAATATAAATGCAAAATTTGTGAAGAAGGTTTTAAGAAGAAATCTCATCTATTAATTCACAAACGCAGTCATTTTGTTGGTAAACTTTACAATTGTGACATTTGTGAGAAGACATTTAAGCAGTTGTCTAATTTAAATTGTCATAAAAGATGCCATTCTGAAGAAAGACCCTTCGAATGTGAAATTTGTCAGCAGAGTTTTAAAAGTTCATTAAATTTGACATATCACAAACTAAGACATTCTCTAGAAAGACCTTTCGAATGTGAATTTTGTGGTAAAAAATTTAAAGGTAAGATGCATTTAATGAGACATAAAAGCAGTCACTCTGTTTTCAAACCTTTTCAATGCAATCTTTGTAACAAAAAGTTCAGCAGTGGGTCAAATTTAGTAACGCATCAAATTGCTCATTCGAACGAGAGGCCTTTTCAGTGTGAACTCTGTAAGAAGAGATTCAAACAAAAATTGCATTTAATACGACACCAGAAGAGCCATTCTAATGAAAAATCTCGTCTTTGTAAGGTGTGTGGGAAAGATAAAACAGAGTTTTCTGACCACGAAAAGTGCCATTACGAAAACAGACGCTATAAGTGCGAGATCTGTGAAAAAAGATTTAAGAAATCGTCTCATTTAAAAGAGCATAGAAGGTGCCATTCTAGCAAGAACCCTTATCAATGTGAATTGTGCCACAGGACGTTCAGAAAGAAATGCAATTTAGTACGACACCGTCACTATCATTCTGACGAGAAGCCTTATGAATGTGAATATTGTGGTAAGCATTTCAAGTGCATTCCAAATTTAAACAGTCATAAAAAGTGTCACATGAAAGATAAATGCTTTCACTGCACTATATGCAACATGAATTTTCAAAATCTGGAAGACCTGAAGCAGCATGTACAAAGTCATTCTGTGGAAGAACCTTTAGAAGAGGAGATTTATGAGGAAAATTTGAAAGATGATATAGAAGAAAACCTACAGGATGAGATTTACCAGGAAATTTCTAAAGACAGCTTCTCTGAAGACGGCGATGATCCGAAGACTGAAAGTGACGATTTGAAGATGCAAATTGAAACTCCCATGTTCCAATGTAGTTACTGTAAGAAAAGTTTCGAAGAAGTAATGCTAATGCTCGATCACGAAAGATCCCATTACGGAAAGCCAATGTCCCCAACCGAGAAAATTGTACAGAAAATAAATTCGAAGAAGCGTAAGAAAGGCCGTGCCGAAGTGAAACTCCACCAATGCGAGCATTGTGATAAAAGTTTTAAATTCAAAATGCATTTAGTAAGGCACATGCGGTATCATTTAAGAGAGAATCTCTTTCACTGTATGCTCTGCAGGAAAACTTTTAAATCCATGTCAAGTCTTATAGATCATCAGAGTTTTCATATAGGATGAAACTTCTGAAGGTTCAAGATCCAAAAAACTCTTGCAATCAAATCTGATTTATTATTTTGTTGAAGAATAAAAAGATGAAATATAAAAAGGGATACATGCTAAATTTTTAAAACGATACTGCATGATTATAAAGTCTGTGCTATTTTGAACTTTAATAACTTCAGATGTATATGTGATAATTCCTATATTAGTGCCCTTTTGTTTTCAGATGCCATGTGCAGCATTTTTTATTTGGGATTATGAATTATAGGTAATGGATTTTAGCAGGCAACATTGTGGGGACATACAAAAGACTTTTTTTTTAAATATACCAAAACTCACACCACTATTGCATTTTTAATTTTAGTACCAAAACTCCACCATTTTATAAAAGTGTCAATGTCTTTTGCATGTCCTGAAGTGTCACCATGCCAGATTATTTTGCATTTGGACTGCTAAATGTTTATTCTCCCTGTGCAGCATGGAATAGGGGTACTTTACAATTCTTTTGGAGACGCAACCGGTGGTGAATGTTAGTTTGAAATATTACAGAACTCTTTGTCCCCAAACTGTAACAGTGGACTTTCAAATTATCTTTGTACATCTTGTCACTATATTTTTTTGAATGATCTTTTCAAACAAGTGAATCAGAAACTGATTCAATGTACTAAATCCACTGATCGTTTCAGTAGGACCCTGAGATTGTCTATAGTATTTTTTCAAAACAATGTTGATTTTAGTAATAAAATTTGGTTTACCTGATCTTTACATAAGAGTCTTTCAAAAAGAATGCTACAATTTTAAATTACTGTAATTATGTTAATTATTATCTGAAGACAATTTAACACAATGTGATTATAAAGTCTCGACCTATTTTTGTGAAAATGGTAACAAAATTGTTTACAACATGCCGACTGAAGAAAACATAATTGCTGTGGTTTGCTTGCGTTTCAGTAGATTAACATACACAGAAGTACCATCAAATCCTCCTGTTTGATAGCTTTTGAATGCTTGGCCGGTGCTATCCACCGGCCAAGCAGTGTGTCAAGATCTCCTGAAGGCTATCAAACAGAAGGATTTGATGGTACTTCTGTGTATGTTAATTAATCTATTCAAACACAAGCAAACCACAGCAATTCCATTTTCTTCGGTCAGCATGCTTCACATGACTTGAAAACAAATAATTTTGTTACCATTTTCACAAAAGTGGATTGAGACTTTGATCACCTTTTACATTCAAACTTTACACAGTGCCTAACTGCAGTAAACAAAAATGAAAATGGAGATACACTGGAAGGTGTAGTGGTCAGAATCTTGATACAGAGAGATGGGCTCTGCTTCATCTTGAAAGGAAAATTCTGAAAGTTTTGAATCGTGCTTTCTGAGCAACGTTATTGGGCCCGTGGCATTTGATCTAATCTGTTGCTCGCTGTTCACCCAGATCTTCAATTAAGTATCTGTTGATTTCTTGTAAGACTATGAGACACTGTGCCATCATTTCGCAGGAGCTGCAGAATCAAATTGACTCCTTTGGGAGGAGTAATAACACTTTGCAGTGAGTCTGGGAAGAAATTGATTATTGGATTGATAGAAAGGTATCGTTCAACAATAAATGTACACATTTGGCATGTTCAAAATCTCGGCATCAATCTGGTGGGGTACTGCCGGAAGTGACACCATGCTGGCGTTTTCGACAGAAAAAATTGCTGACTGCCTGGATACCAGGAAAGAAAAACAAGAAAAATGACAAATGATGTGGACTTCCGCATTAAGTTAAATTTATTTCCGAACTTATTCATTTTTCATAAAGCCATTATCATTAAATATTTCGAAAAGAAAAAGTGGGATGAATAATTTTTATTGTAATAGTTTCCATAGGAATTATAAATAACGAAATTGATTACACTCTTAACAACAAAAAGATTTATTTATGCTTCTAACACAATAAAGTGCTATAAATTAAGACATTTAGCGGGTTTTCTCATCTTTATTTAGTTGATACATGTGAAAATTTTTACACGTTTCGGGCTCTTAAGCCCCTCTTCAGCCAACTAAAACATTAAAAAAGAATATAACATACATATAAAAACATAAGTATTGTAGAAATCATAAAAATATAAAAGGTACCTTTCACTTATAAAACAGTTATACAAAATCCTTGATCTAAAACATATTCTGGACATAAACTTATTATATAACTAACATAAACTATAAAACATACTCTGGACAACAATTATCAATCCAGTATACAATTGATTATGCCTTCCACTCATAAATCTGTTTTACGAAATCCTTATTTCCTTTGATACGCATTGACAATATAATACGAATTTACATAACACTATTGTCACATAGCACTTTATTGTGTTAGAAGCATAAACAAATTGTAAAGCACGGTTTTATATCATCAAAACAAAAAGATTGTAATGTATGTCTTTCGCTATTAGCACAAAGTTGCTGTTGAGAACAAATCACACAGGTTTCAATGGAAAAAGTAGGTTTATTTTCTATAATTTAGAAAGGATATGCATTTCGGGTTTTAGGCCCCAAAATGCATAAACTGCAATCTCACTCTTTTCACTCCAAGACTGAAGAGAGTGAGCTTGCAGTTTTTTGGCAGCAACCGGAAGTTTCCTGAGATTTTTGAATATGCCCATTGAGGGATTGTAATGAACAGGTATAAAATTTGAAGGTTATTGAAATATCGTTTTGTGGTAATAATGTTTCATTCTGTTTGGAAGACTGTTTATTTTAAATAATGCCCATTTTCTTAGTGTAACTTTAAAATATAACTGAATCGTAAAGCTTTCTTAACGTTATAACAAGAAAATAGGTTTTTGGGGCCTTGCGAAGTGCACAAACTGATTAATTCACCACTACTTGGCTACCTCATTTGTGCCCAATCTGACCCCACTGTACTACTGTTTACGGGGTCACATCGAAACTATTGTGTAATTTGTATAGTAAGATCGGAAACACGCATACACTTCAATGCAGACTTTATAATCATCCCGTATGATGAGTTTCGTGTTACCAGATGAACTTCGCACTGTTACTGGAAACACAGGAAACTATTAGAAGATAAGGCAAACTAATGCGTAACTTTCTATCAAAGAAATATTTTTGATTATAATTTTTGTAGATTAAATTAATATTGATGTAATTAGTTTCGACAGAAAATCAGGTACAGATATATATCTATAACACACACATCATATGTAATTATTCATACTACATTAACACAGATATGTAATGCATAGCAAGTTGTTAAATCCTTTGTTTTTAATTAACTTTCGGAATATCTCGTTTGTAAATGTACCCTTTTGTACGATATATTTTTAATAGATTAACTTGCAAAATGTTTGTCGTATTTTATTAAAAATAAACTTTTTATATTTTATCACCATATAAGATTGTTGTTTGTGATTTGAGACTTTACACACTAGAAAAACCGCCCGATCACGCGAGATTGTTTGAAATATTCCCGATAAAAATATACAGGTGTATACCTTACCTGAATATGACAAGCTGATTCAGCGCATAATCATGTAGTTGTACACTTCGCTAAACTGGATAAGTACTATTAAGATGATATTTGGGACTCGTCATACAGCAGTGATAAGGCTTATAAATTATTGTTAATTTTATTAACCAAACTAATTCGTATAATTTCATAATGTATACATTTTGGGAGGGATTATAGTTCTATCCCCCCTTCAGTTTAATGACAATGTACTGTTGAATGTTGAAAATACATGTAAACGTGAATTACTTATTAAGAGAGATACTTTAATTGAAAAAGTTCAATATATGATATGGTACATTCTTCATATAAAGTATTAACTTACATTTTTTAGACATTCCGAGAATACTGCGGAGCCACTCGATGCTACCTTAAAAATAATATAACATGCATGACAATTGAATATAACCGATTTTAAAATTATAACTATGTAATACAACTATATATAAACTATGCATATTCCAACAAGGCAGGATAGTGAGGGACGGAACTCAACATATCCGGACGGACCATCCCCCGAAAAATTCCTGTATTTAGCTATTGAAAGAATAAGCCATATAGAACCCATTTTTGTTTTAGCCTGAGTTACAGGATATCGTGACGAATTTGCCACGTGACATGATTTGCGAGATACTCAATATATATATTTTTTCAAACGTGTAATAATGTCGGAAGTTTGCTACTATTAATAGTATTAAAATATACACGAATGAAAGTCAGTTAAGTGTCCTTTTAGAGTCTGTAAACCTATATTTTTAAAAAATATTCATCCATAGAATAATTAAAAATGTTGCAGAGTCGAATAAAAATTCTCCATGTCTTCAGTTTTTCCACAAGTAGTATCGTTTAGAAACTACTGTGCGTGTACTGTACAGTATATTGTCTCCCAGAACTATATAAATAATACCAAACAATAAGCGCTAGTAGCTCCATCTATATTTGTTTAGAACAAATCTTATTCACCCGGATATATCTTGGCGCTAATCACAACATTCCTCATCCAGTCAACTACTGATACAGGTGGGTACCAATCATTTTCTTTATTTAGAAAAAAAGCACCAAAATTTCCGTTTTCTTACTGTCTACGGTTGCAACTTACAATTACCCCCTTTACAAGTCATGTGATTACACTCCATACTCCTCCATAAGTCACACGAACAGTGTCGTAGCTAGGATCATTGGCGCGCAGGGCAAGATTCTTATTTTATCCCTTCAAAAATCCTAGATATATTGAAATACTAAGAATCGTTTCTCTGATCGAGTCCCTGGCGCACGCTTCTTTTGTGGGGCCCTAGCTAAGGTGTTGCACACGAAGACCATCCACGGGCTACCTGATCCCATTACACTCCATATATCAAGTGATCATACGCCATAAGCACCTTACATTCGGCACTTTTTTCACTGCAAAATACTAATGTACCTTGTACAAGTAGTGTTATATTAATAATTTACGAAATTGCTTGTTTTATGTAGGAGAAACAAATGAATTTTTGTCATTTCAGTTAAACGTTAACAACAACAAAAAAAAATCTTTAAGAATGTTTTAAATGATTTTCCTTGTTTGTAAGAAAGTTATTTTTAAAAAATTTATAAATGCTATTAGTGTTTTTGCTATAATTGCAACAAAACATTACAGGATTTATCATGGAATACATCCTGATCTGTCAGGAAAAGGATGCCGTGTGCAAAGTAGATATTATTTAATTCTTTTAAGGAAATAAAAAAAGAGGGGGGAACTTTCTATAAAAGTAAATGTATGTATGAAAGTTAATACAGTGGTGCCTCGTATAACGTAATTAATCCGTTTCAGGTGCACGTCCGTTAAGTGAAAAGTCCGTTATACGAAACGCATTTTCCCATAGAAATATATGTTAAAACATACAGTAATTCGTTCCGTAGCATAAAATAATCGTAGTTGTACCATAAAAAAATGAAAATGGAGTAGTCACCAATTATGCCGGGTATTCAGATGTGAGGAGGACGTGGAGGAACACTTTCTTCACACATTCATACAGATACAGACTTTTTACACTTTGCAATAGGTCCCTTTTTATTGTTTTTTAATCGGAGAGGCTACCAGAGCTTGCAGGGTCAACTCCTCTTGTTCCATCCTTTGTTTTTAGGCAGCTGGCTTCTTGAAAAACATGTCCAAGGTGGTCTGTTTCTGTCTTTTCTTCAACACCTGTCGGAAATGACGGGCAAGGGTGTCATTGTTGAGATCATTGATTCTGTTGGCCTCAGCTGTGTTTGGATAGTGAGTGTTCGTAAACTCCTGAACCTCTCCCTATTTGACAAGGAAGTCCATGTCAACTTTCACTCCTGATGATTTCTTGCTCTATTAATTAAAATTGAAATCACCTTTGTTTTTTAGAAGCCATGATTTGCATAACACTTGAAATGTAAATACCCTGCACTGAGGTGATGTACGTAATAAACAAGGGAGCAAGCCGAACCCAACGGGAGCTCTGTACTTCAGATATAGGCCTACTAATAATATATTCTAGTAATACTAATTTATTATAAAAATAGCAGATTGTCATTGGCAACGGCAAAAGAGTGGAAACATCATTAGCACTTGTTCGCAGAAAGTTTGTTGTTCGCCTCACGTAACGGCCAAACAGAAAGTCCGTTGTTCGCAGCGTCCGTTATTAGAGGCATACGTTATACGAGGCACCAGTATACTTGTCTGTCTGTTCTCTATACAGTTCTAAATCCTTTGACCGATCTACACCATGTTTTTCATAGTTACTCTGTATGACACTGCCTGAAATATAGCCTACTGTGACCTGGACAAACTTCTCCCCCTGATTCAACCTCTTGCCACTTCATGATAAACGTAACAATCCAGAGACAATTTCAGATACGAGTGCCACAAGCTGAAATAGAGGAGCCTGTCTTGTTTTAATCTACCAGAAAATCGCATAAAAATCTATTGAATGTAATTTAATTACAATTAGTTGAATTTAAAATATACTTGGGCAAAATATCTGGCAGGCAGCATAAATACAGTATTTATGCTGCCTGTCATACAACTCGCGGCCTTTTGTAGATTTATTTTTAACTTAATTTTTCAGTTTTTTTTTAGTTTATAAAACATATTATTCCTTTTTTAATACAGCTCATAAAATTTCATGGGAATGTTTTTAAAAAGTATCGTTTATTATCATTATTTGCTTTAATCATGAAATTGTTGGTCTTGGTGTCTATTTGCTTAATCATATCTGTTTACACTCATCCAAATAATAAAGGTATTTATATTTATATTTTTAAATTTATAAAGTCAGCTTTTATTGTAAAGACTTTCGTTAATTTTCTTGCTGTTTAAATTGTTTCAGTCACTGAAGGTGCTGGAATTGAAAAAAGAAAAGTGTAAGTTTGAGTTTTTCACAGTTTAACTTAATTTTTAATGTTTATAAAATAAAGGTGTTAAAAACTAAAATTTTTATTCGTTGAAGAATTCACGAATATTGAAGAAAAAGTTTTTAAAAATTCTGTAGAGCCGTCATAAAGTTTCTACGTACACTACTTAGAATTCTGTGTTTGTTTTTTACTCCATTCTTCCATCAGTGACCAACTAGATAAAACCATTGAACATTGGTAGTTAGTTGGTCATGGATTCGTGTCTCGCCAACGGTCTGGCCACGTGGAATTTTCCTGATTTTCTTCACGTTTGTAATACCTAAATAAGGGCCAGCTTCTCATAGAAAGTCCTCCTTGGCAGATCACCCAATGTCGCGTTACCGTATACAAACAAACCAAATCAAAGCTCACAAACTTTAATTTTGAAGAAAAATCACTAAAACAATCCATAACAACCGTTTTCAAGTCCATCTGTTGTAAGACAGTTTCCCTGAAGAATTCTTACATGTTTTATGTTGGCTTGCAGAAGGCAGCATCATAACAAATCCAGGTTTGACGTAGTGTTGCTTCTAGAATATGATGTATTCTTGATCTTCTGTTAAAGAATATCATTGATATATTCTTTAACAGAAGATCAAGAACACATCATATTCTGGAAACAACATTATGAAACTATATGCATGAAATTATGTTGATCTTCCTGTTCAGAACAGGAAGATTAAGAATAGAATTTCATGCATAGCCATAGGTGTAGATTGTTTTTTAATGTTTAAAATTACCATAGAAATACTATACAAAAAACTATGTATGTCAGTAAAAATATATCATTAATTTATTTTAAAGGAATAAAATTAAAAACAAGGTTGATTTACAGTAATTTACTTTTTCGTACAGATGCATCCCACTATATAAACACTGCAATCCATTTTCTGGGAGTTCATGTTGTAAAGGGAAATGCAGATGTCCACCGAAACTTCATTGTCAATGTACCACTTGGTAACACAAGTTTCAAGAATCTTCTTCTAAGTAGAATAAAAATCTGTTTAAAAATTTAAAAAAAAAATAAAAATTTATGAAATTTATGAAAAATAAATTTTGCCTTTAAAAAGAAAGTTAATTATGTAAGTATTCCTGCAATTAACTAAAAACAAAAAAATACTCCCGATTATCCGTGTTAATTAGTGTACGGGTATTCACAAAAATCCGAAAAACACGAATAATCTAAATAATAATATGCCTATTCAGGAGTTTTATGCCTTATATATATATACAGCTCAACCAATGGCGCGTTATTCTATGGGCAAAAAAAGGGCCATTGTCTCGAGTTCCTATCAAAAGGAGGCCCAAACTAATCTTTTATAAACTCATTACTGTAGTAAGAATATCGAAGTTTAAATGTGGGCCATATCTGGGGTCCCTAGATTGCTGGTGTGGTTCAGAGCAGAACTTAAATAATAAGATTTTTCTTTATAATGTACAATTTTTAAACTCTTACTAAATTTTTAGACGCATATTATCTTTTTACCATTAATTTTTAAGATACTTTAATGCTGATTCCAGTGGCGTAGCTATTATTAAGCGAGGTTAAGTTTTCAGAGGAAATGGACTAACAAGGAGTGATATAAAGGGCAAGGACAAGAGGCAGGCCAAGAACCACATGGACTTGGACTGATAATATTAGGAAATGGGCTAAATTGTCAATTGCCCAATTATCTACGAGTTATTGGGACATGGAGACATAGAAAGGGTATACCAAGAGTTTTCTAGAGGTTCTCCAACGGTCTTTATAAGTAAGACTATGGGAGAAGAAGAAAGGGATGGTGCCCGGACGGACCACCCCCGAAAGATTCCTGAGAAATTTCCAACTCGTCCTAATGCGATTCCGGGTCCCCCGGAGCGGTAACCTGCCATCTTAACCACTCAGTCATCCGGTTGTTTCTATTTAGATGTAAGACACACGAAGAAAACCGTTGCCAATTGTTGGTGAAGCGCATACCGAGAATAATAATTGAAAAATATAGAAACTGAGTACATTATCAAATACACTTTATTCATTCAAAGATTTTTGTCTATTGGATCAATATATGTATTGTTTTTTAATATAATTTTTAAAATGGAGATTTTTTCATTAACTCAGACTTTTTTACATCTACAAGGTTGGTCTTTCTTGCATTTACATTTGTAACCTTCGCAACACTTTCTTCTAGGACGCTTGCATGGTTCATATGTCTTCAAACATCTAGGTCTATGCGCGAAAATAAAGCCAAGGGTTTATAAAATGAAATATGATATATCATCCGCATCAATTATGTTATACATAATTTCTCGACTCTAAGATGCATATTTTACTCATTTTTGCTTTTTAGAAATACAGATGCGTCTTAGAATCGTTGGTATCTTATAGAAACAACAATCGACAATCATTGAAAAAAGACTACGTTATTTATTATGCGCCAATAATGGACTTTATAACTATACTGCTTAATAGATATAAATTCTAGTAACCAGCATTTATGTCCACCAGTGGTCAAGTGGATAAAACCACCGAACACTTGGTCATGGGTTCGTGCCTGGCCAACGGGCTGATTATATGGAGTTTTTTCAGATTTTCTTTATGTTTGTAATATAGATGTTACATAGGGGCAAATTTCCCATAAATTCCTCTGAGGGTATCATACAGCACAAAAATAGAGCTACAGAAAGTTTCGTTTTTTTTTTTTTCTTTCTTACACCTATTTTTATGAGAGTATTAAACACAAGATCGTGTTATTAATCAAACACGTGGCTTCTTTTCCATCTTTATTTAATTGAAAAAGAAAGCCAGGATGAAAAAGAAGCCATGTGTTTGATTAATAACACGATCTCGTGTTTAATACGCTCAAAAAATAGTACAACACGGTTTCAAAAAAACAAATAAACAAACTATTTTTATGTCCAACATGGATTCGGCCAATCCACAATTGAGGCTGTAGGTGGTGAGGCTGACGCCTTAATTGCCTTGGCCATTTGGATCTCGAGTCATAGTCTCTTATAATAACTATTTAAGGGTTGGCCGGATGGCCGAGCGGTCAAGGTGGCAGCCTACCGCTCTGAGCGACCCGCGTTCGATAAATACCAGGAATTTTTCGGGGGTGATCCGTCTGGTTATGTCGGGTTTCGTCCCTCATCATCCAGCCACCCCACTGTGGGCCTGGCCGAACCCATAATGGGCTTGCTAAATGAGACCCTCTTTGTGCCCACAGAACGGAAAGTTAAAAAAAAATAATAATTACTTAAGACAATTGATGATATAACTTCATACTTACTTCCATTTATTAGTGGAATGTATTACATCTCCACCTATAATTGTCCCATTAGAAACAATATAATTTTATTTCTAATTTAATCCTTAAAATTAGAATTTAATTCTTGAATAAATGTAATATCATTACCATTTACTTCTTGATATTCTTGAAGACTTAGAATCAAACAGATGAAAAGTACTACTCTAAGCGTCATTGCTGCAACTAGAATAAATATAAAAACCCGTTGTAAATTAAAATATATTTATATGAATAAGTAACGACTGTATTTAGAATATTTATTCAACGTATAATATTAAAAACGAACAAGTTTTTCATAAAGGGTTTGGAGTCTGAAATGATTCAGTGATTATTAAAATCAAGGTGGCTATTTATCCAATTATTATAGCCATTAATCATTATGTTTAACCAATCAGATGTGGCCTTTTGGAGAAAAATCATAAAAATTTTGCCATTGAAAATAACCGGAATTCATTAAAACATAAAATTAACAATAACTTTATAATAAAAATGAATTTGCAGTAGCAACAACTGTGGTTTCATATATAACTTATATATGCATCAGTTAAATAGACATTAAAAAAATAATAATAATATAACTTAAATGGAATTTACAATCAAAACAGATGTGGTTTGCTCGGAAATAAAATTAATGTTTATGTCTATCGACTTTTTCAATTATTTATGAACATATCTCTATCAAACAATGCAATATGTATTGATAATACGAATTTATTATATAAGACGTTAAAAGTATAAAACACTAACATTTTAAAATTAAAGGAATATATTTTTAAAGTTTTTTGGCCCTCTCAATGTACAGTACATAGCAATTAAGGATGTAATTAGCCTGCCGTTCTGGGGATTCAGGTTCGAGTTCGGGTTGTGAGTAGAGCCTATCCTAGCGTTTGCAAGACAGACTCCAGGCAATATTTTTTTAGGCCCATTACAGAGTAGATTTATTTATGTCTGCAGTAATATAAACATTTTAAATATAGAAAAGCAGACAGTGAAATATATAATGTAATAAAAATGTGTATTGATCTCCCATTAAGATTTGTGGGGTTTTTCGACCATTATCGGTCATTAGTTTCTTTTGTATTTACAGAATATGCTAGAGCAGAATTTTCTGCTATTTGTTGATCGTGAAATTTGGGGTTTCCCTAGGGAATAGAAAAAGGATAACTCCAAACAAAAAAGAGACACGTGTTTCATGCTCCCAATTACGGGCGCCCTTGGTAAAGATGATTGAGTAAAATTCCTCGGACATGTTCTTCATATCGTATTGCAAAATATGGGGCATGTTCTTTGTGTAGCATTGAAAAGGATGACATTTTTCATTTTGTAGAACATGTTTTCCTTTTGGATACTTCATGATACCAGTAATCCTTAAAAAAATGGTACTCATTGTATAAGGATCCTGTTCGGAAAGTTCCATAAAGTTATATATATATTTATCTTTTGTAAAAAAAAAAACTCGTGTGCGATGTTCTCGGCACTTCGTTGTCCTAAAAATCTCGTGCGCGCTTCGCCACGTGGTTTTCCGGATTTTCTTCACGTTTCTAACAGTTAAATAGGGGTCAGTTTTTTTAATGAAGTCCTTCTGGGAGGCCTTACTGTTGAGAAAATACCTCATGTGTTGCGTTGACTTTTCCAGTCAATCCATCTCTCATATTCAGAGCACATTATTTCTGTACACAAAGGTACAAACAAAATGGACAATAATTACAAGGAAAACGTAAACTTATGCTTCAATTTTATTTTATTTTTTAACTTTTGAACGGATTGTTTTCCATACAGTACATTTTAGAAACTTTTATTTCCATGTAGTGCATTGACAATGGAGTTTCGGTGGGCATCTACATATTCCTTTGCAACATGGATCCCCAGAAAATGGATTACAGTGTTGATATAGCGAGATGCATCTGTACGAAAAAAGGAAATTATTATTAAAAAACCTTGTTTTTAATTGTGTTAATCTGTAATAGATATAAACACACATTTAAATAATAGATAGTTTAAAAATATCTTCGTGGTAGTATGAATCTTATAGCAACTACGTTTACATTATTGTAATTAACATATATTTACATTATCTAGGTAATTTCAATTTATGTAATTTCTATCCTTTGCCTAAAATTTCAATGTGTTGTTTACTTGAAGTAGAGTTACATTACAGATTGATCTCAACTTTTGGTCATTAATAATGAAACTTGATCCACAATATGATAACATGGATGAGGCATGGAAGATTTCCTGATCCGTTTTGACAAAACAATTAGAAAATCCACGAAATAGATTAAATAAAATAATGTTTTTAATTATTAGGTCTACTATTTTCTTTAAGAACACAGACATAATTTTATTTCAGATGTTTCGTACATATACGTGGGATTTCCCAGTTATTCTTCATGTTCGTAACACCTGAATAGGGGTTATTTTCCCATAAAAGTCCTCTCGGGAGACGTAATCAAATAAACTAAACCTGATCAGGACGTCGTTTCCCATACCTCATACACATTGCATGGTTTCATTGGTAATCTAATCTACCAGAAATAGGTTCAAAATCCGGTTTTTTCCAGTGTCAAATAATAATATACTTACGACCGCTTGGTAATAAAAGATTTTACACTTGCACCTAAAAATAAAGAAACAATTAGAAATGTTTAATTTTTAAAATTATATGTAATTTTGAATAAAATACCATTAACTTGTTGATATTCCTGAAGACTTAGGATAAAGCAGATCAAAATTGTTACGAGTAACTTCATGATTGTCAACAGTGAAATGGCAGAAATTTAAATACAGTATTTATCACTGGTGATGGTAAATACCATCTCAACCAAGTCGATAGTGACGTGGACAACATGACGTCGCAAAAATCATCATGATAGGTGAACTACCGAAGAACACCAATACATTTACACACAATATAGTTCCATTAAAATATTCATTTACAGTGCACGAGTCCTTACATTATAAAATTGTTATAAACAATCAAAACAATTTTTCTTTTACCACGTTTAACGCGCGTGATAACTTTACGGGGTTCGAGCGAATTTGAATTAGGGGACGTCGTGTATAGTGTTGATTTCATACATTTGTCTTCGGGAAAATATTTTCTTACGGAACATTGGTTTGGGTCATCAAGAATGGCCCTTTTTTGCCCATAGGATAATGCGCCACTGCTGTTTCTTGGCTTGCCTTTCTTGCGCTTAGTAAACATATTCACTACTTTCGTCTTAAAGCAAACAGGTAAAACAAATATTTTCAACACTACCTCTACTCAGTAACGGTATAAGATACCTGAGGATTAAGAAAAATAGTTTTTTTATATTTACATTTATGCAACGTGATTAGACTCGTAAACTTTGGAATGTCGACAAATGCAAAATAATTCGGGTTTTTTTTTTTCGGGTGTTGGGGCACAATTTTGTTTACACCCTTTGAACCTTAATAATTTCTGTGCTTTTTGTCGAAAATTTCTGAAATTTCACAGGGAGATTTATGTACTAGGGAGATTAATGCTATTAAATTTTGATGGTTTAAGGTCAACGGGGTGAGGAGATAAAGGGGGTCGTGTATTGTATCGCGAGTAGGGTCGGAATTAATGACGATTTTACTCGTTATTAGCATTTACAATTGTCTTTTTTTTTAAAATAAAACCCGTCTCTACCCTCAAAATTAAGCTTTTTGCCATTTTATAATAACAAAAAATATAAATAGTTTTTTAAAAAAAATATCGTAACAGATGGCGCTACGAAAATTTTAAATGTTACCTGGAAAGTTAAGCAACTCTTTACTGGATTATTTTCTTAAATGTTTGTATTAATACAATTCAATTAATTAAAAATACCGGTTAAACATGCCATTGTAACACACCAAAAATCATTTTAAAGGCATTTTATAAAAGCATTTGTAGTGTACCTTCATTTTGGGAAAAGATTAACAATTTCTAATGTGGTTAAACAAGGGTAAAGTAATATGCCCATGTTTAGAACTCAAGAATAATTTATTCTTAAGTTCTAAAAATGAGCATATCACTTTACCCTTGTTTAATCATTCCCTTTATGGGCTTGGCTAGATTCACAATAGAGATAATAAGAAACGGGACCAGATATATCCGGGACAGATCTCCAATAAAAATCTCTCGAGGCCCGTGACCTCAACTTGAATCCGCATATCCAGAGTGGCAGACCGATGTCTACAATTTCGGCCATTTGGTCAGCAAACGCTGACCTCTAAGTCGTGTTTTTCTATTACACAAACAAGAAATGTATTATTGTTGAATTTATAATTTTCTCTTTCCATCCCGTAGGTACTAACAGGGTTTTCTTCCATGCCAATTATGAGTTCTGCCAGTCCCAAAACATTCCTGGGGCCTTTCGCCCGCCCGTATTCTTATGCCAGAGTCGGTAGATTAACTACCGACTCTGCTTATGCTGAATCATTAATTAATCGTATCATCCGGCTGTCAAATTAATTAATTTAAAATAATTTTTTAATTAAAGTTTTAGTTTATTACTTTTATATATAAAATAAAAAATCAAATTAAAAAATTTATTGATTTATTTTAAAAATTTTGTATTTTTTTTTTTTTAAAAAGTTAGCGGATTAGGTTCGATTAGGTTTAACATATTTCATTACTCTAGATGGCGTTAGACATTATTCCTTTAAATTTCTATGGCTGGTGCGAGTATATATTATTCACTAAGGTTTACTTATCGATACTTTTCTTTATATTAAAATATTCCTATTCGAAACGTATCATAATCTAATAATAGAGATGCTCAATGCGTATATTAAAATTATAATTTAGCCACGTGCTCTCTCGCTGTCAGCGTGTTCAAATCGCGCGTGATCCCTCCCGCCATGTTTAGATGATGCAAAACAAAGGGTCGTGGCCCTACTGAGAAACCAACGTTTATTTCTTGAGCAATTTTTTCTTTTAGTTGGCATTTCAAATTTATTTAAATATTACTATTAATGCAACACTGCAGACATAATATAAAATATTAAATTTAATGATTACTGGATATGACAAAAGGTTATGGAAGATATTGCTCAGCAACTAATTGCCATAACTGCAAGGGCAAATTTCCCGACAAATGTTTCTTTACTTTCCCAAAAGACCTTGAAAGGTGAGTCTTATTTTATATTATAATATTGTATAATTATATTAAAATAATAATAGAATCCTGAATATATATGGTTATATTGGATTATTTATTGTTTTTCTACTCTATTTAAGACAGGCTGAATGATCTAACTTGTGGAATTGATTGACAAAATACTGTAATTCACCTTATTTATTTTTTTCAGAGTTGCTCTGTAGGTGTTTCTTCCTATTCGACTTGAAGGCTATTTCTAATGAAAATAATGTTCTTAAATAAAGTTCTTATATATTCTGTTATCAGAAATGTTCCTGATAACATTATATTCGAGCAGAAAAATACATTTATAATGGAAACCACAATGTGGTTTCCATTATAAATGACAGAGAAACATTGTGGTTTCCATTATAAATCACAGAGGAACCTTGAATTACTTCAGTGAGCCTTTACTTATGACTGATGTTTTCAATTGGCATAGGAGTTCTTCTTCTTTTATACAGTGATTTATATTATATATTATAATCTTTTGTGTCTACAAGAATTAGAACTGTAGAAAAATTGTTTCAAATGTAATGAATATAAACTTGAAGGCAATTACTATTGATAGCTGGGATGTTAGTGTTGGCCTACCATTACAAGAGATTTTGAATCAAATTCAAACAAAACCCTAGAAATTTTTGGTGGTGGTCTGATTTGGTTATGTCAGGCTTGGTTCCTCACTTCTTTGTGGGCTTGGCCCTTTCCTTAATCTCGAGAATGGAGTTAGATAGATGAAAGATGAGACCAGATTTTGAAAGCTTAGGGGTAGGAGGCCCCAATCAACATGAAATAATGTGACTTCTGGTTTGCATCAGAAGATTTTATATAGTTAATTGCTATATAAGAATTTCTGATGCAATCCAGAAGTCATGTTATTTCAATTCAAAAATTTTCCCCCGAAAGGTGTTAGATAGATGACCGGCACAACTCAATTGTTAAAGGAAAAGTATGATGTACAAGGGCAAGCCACTACTAATTTGAGGTGGAGAGCATATATTTTAAATTAAATAAATGATTGAAAATTGCAGCCTGGCATTGTGATGACGTCACAATAAATAATTGCACGTTATGTTTGAAATTATATGTGAAGTAAAAATATTATTTAACATAGGAAATTAATTCCTTATTCAAGCAGATGGAGTGAGAACAGAGAAAGAGGAGATTACCTCTGTTTAATATAACAAAAAAGAAAAGTACATGTTATCTTCTGCAATGCACATTGCTTATGCTATTTGGTTATTTTGTGTCAATGTATGTTATAATGCTTATTGAATTTTTCCCGTTTGTATTGGTCACAAGGATTCTCTTGCTTCATTTTTTTTATGTTTAACTTGGTATCTGGTTCATCCCTTGATTTTTATATGTCTTGTCGATGATGGGACAGTCAGAAAGCACTTGGGTTTTCTAAATTGCAGTTTGAATAGCTGAAAAAGCAATAAATTGAGTAACACAACAGATTAAACTCTTCCAACTAGAAGTATAGTGTAGTGTGCTCTTGCTAGTCTGAATTCCACTTTGTATGAATGAATTTTGTTTATTTTTCTATGTTGCAATTAAAAACAAAAAAAAAATCATAAATTATTATTTAAAAATATAATAAATCTATAAAATTTATATATGGTAGAAAATAGAGCCATAATTAGCCCATAATTAACCTAGTTTGAAAAGTTTATGGCTTGATATAGAAACTGTTTTGAATGTATTTTGTCTTTAGTATATTATTCTCTAAATACTAAAGCATTTGGTCCAACGGTTCTGTAATGCAAATAGTTATATCCTTATAAGCTGATTTGTCATAGTCTGTGAAAAAGTCTATTCTAGCAATGACTTGTTCATCTGACAAAAACTTTTTATTAGCAAAGATATTTGAGTTTTGGAAAAAGAAAAGAAATCTAGCAGAATTATATGGCATCAATTTGAATTGAAAGTTTGTGACATTTGTCCATCACAATTACAAAAAGCTGTTTGAAATGGTGTACTTTTTTCTTGACTATTCTTGGCTTTTTTTTTTAATTTTTTTGAATCTTTCTATGCAATCTCACACATTTTAATATGGCAATCTTGTAACACAGGATTTTGTTGATGGTTTCTTTTGTTTGGTATTTTGTCCACCACAAAAGTCATCTTCCATTTGTAAACAAAGGAGCTTACTTTTTTAATCATTGAAAACAATGGAACCTGCCAGTTTCAATTTTAATTAGTCATATATTTGAAATGAATTCTTGTGAACAAACTTTCCCTAGTTTTGTGACTTAATTTTGGGAAAAGGAGCACAGATACAGTACTGTAAACAATGGTGATAGAAATATTTTCTGAAAAAGTTAATTAGGCTCTATATTAAATCACTATTTTCTTGTGTGTTCCTTATGTGCCATGTATGATATTAGTTTTTACTTGATTTTAACCCATTTCCTAGCCAAGAATTGTAGATGACATTAACATGGCATCTACAATTCTTGTGTTTAGCACTTTTATAGCATACATGCAATCCTCAACATATATCTATCTTTGAACGATATATCTAATGAAAATAATAAGGAATTATTAACAGAATATATAAAAATGTATGGAATCATAAATGTTTTTCTTAACATTATAGTCAAGCAGAAAAATTAATTGTTTAAAATTGAATAAATTAAATTTGAAGGCAATTACTATTGATGGTTGAGATAGTTACTTGGGAAGAGAGTGAAATTTTAACAGATTATGATAGTTAAAACATCAGCCTACCATTCTGAGGGATTTTGAATCAAATCTAAACTGGACTTTTTTATTTAGAATTAGGTAACCAAGGAATGACCAATCCAGCAATCTGAAAAAGTTTTATTCAAGACCACTCACATGTCCCAATTCCAGTATGGAGGGGTTCTATCTTTTGGAAGGTGGAAAACTAAACACACTGCAAATGTTTAGTTTATGGGAATATGAAGATTTCCGTCATGTCCTGGTAGTTGCATCTATTAACAGTGCCCTAACTGAAGAAAAATGGACTATCTGGTTCATTGACCTTCAGATTGTCCCTGACAGGTTCTCATACCAAATGAGGATTTTAGCCATACCAAAATCTTTAGTTGTTCCTTAGGAATGCCATTGCAAAGTTAAAATCACTCGTCATTGTGATCTCAGGAGCCGTAGAATTGTCGCTGCTATGGGAGAAGTGACAACAGATATATCATAGTGAGAATAGGAAAAATTTGAGTATCAGTCAGATTTGCTCTGTGATGAGGTGCACACATTGAGAAATTGTAATTAGCCAGTGTGAAACTTAGACAGTTTTCCAATGTTTTAATGCATACGACAATGTTTCCAGATATTAATTAACATAATTGCAATAATTTAAAATGGTAGCATTCTTTTTGGAAGACCCTGTATATACATTGTATATAAATATTTGCCTGATGTTTTCTTACAGGTGCAAAAGTTGGATTATAAACTGTGGAAGAGAAGATTTACTAACAAAAGATAATAAGTATCTATATAAAAATTGTTGCATCTGTTCGGATCATTTTGAGGATAAGTGTTTTCTTAATGACTTGAGGAACAGGCTTGTTCCTAATGCTATACCAACAATTTTCAATATGTCTAGCTCACCAGATATAGAATCAAGTGAAACAAATGAAAGTAAGTAGTTTATAATACATAGTTGCATAGTTATATTTCTTACCTAATTGTATTGTAGAAAAAAATACATGAAAAATCAATTTTTCTTTCTTTTCTGACTTACTGAGGGTAGGTAACTCCAAATTTATAAAACATTATATCAATAATGAAATAAAAATTAAAGTTAAAAAAGGTAAAATCAAACCCAATTGCCGAGAAACACTTTATTACACTTTCAGACTCCCTAAATGCATTTCGCCAAAAAATTTAGGCCAGGATCCTCAGTAGGGTTTTCAGCATACAGTTCAAACTCTGACAATATTCTATCACGGGTTTCTGTTATGAATTTCCATCTATATATCCGACAAAAGTTTCCCAGCATGCAGCTGTTAACATGCCTGTATTTAAATTAACCATATTATTTTGCATAGTTATGGCAAAATGTCCTTTAACTTTTCTTTTTACATTATTTTTTTCCTTATAAACAATTTTTACATTTCACAGTTATTAATAAAACGATGATGAATGATAGGAGAATTATTATACAGGTATACCTCGCCTTACGTTGGTAATTGGTTCCAGGAGAACGACTTAAGTCGAAAAACGACATAAGTCGATTTTACTTGTTTCCAAATCTACTTGTCACTAGGCTAAACCATAAATTGGCAATTTTGGTTCTGTATTTTATTTATTAATGCATTTTTAATAATGTATGGTTAATAAGGATCTATTTTAAGCTTACAAACAAATAAATTTTAGTTTTTAATATANGACAAAACAATTAGAAAATCCACGAAATAGATTAAATAAAATAATGTTTTTAATTATTAGGTCTACTATTTTCTTTAAGAACACAGACATAATTTTATTTCAGATGTTTCGTACATATACGTGGGATTTCCCAGTTATTCTTCATGTTCGTAACACCTGAATAGGGGTTATTTTCCCATAAAAGTCCTCTCGGGAGACGTAATCAAATAAACTAAACCTGATCAGGACGTCGTTTCCCATACCTCATACACATTGCATGGTTTCATTGGTAATCTAATCTACCAGAAATAGGTTCAAAATCCGGTTTTTTCCAGTGTCAAATAATAATATACTTACGACCGCTTGGTAATAAAAGATTTTACACTTGCACCTAAAAATAAAGAAACAATTAGAAATGTTTAATTTTTAAAATTATATGTAATTTTGAATAAAATACCATTAACTTGTTGATATTCCTGAAGACTTAGGATAAAGCAGATCAAAATTGTTACGAGTAACTTCATGATTGTCAACAGTGAAATGGCAGAAATTTAAATACAGTATTTATCACTGGTGATGGTAAATACCATCTCAACCAAGTCGATAGTGACGTGGACAACATGACGTCGCAAAAATCATCATGATAGGTGAACTACCGAAGAACACCAATACATTTACACACAATATAGTTCCATTAAAATATTCATTTACAGTGCACGAGTCCTTACATTATAAAATTGTTATAAACAATCAAAACAATTTTTCTTTTACCACGTTTAACGCGCGTGATAACTTTACGGGGTTCGAGCGAATTTGAATTAGGGGACGTCGTGTATAGTGTTGATTTCATACATTTGTCTTCGGGAAAATATTTTCTTACGGAACATTGGTTTGGGTCATCAAGAATGGCCCTTTTTTGCCCATAGGATAATGCGCCACTGCTGTTTCTTGGCTTGCCTTTCTTGCGCTTAGTAAACATATTCACTACTTTCGTCTTAAAGCAAACAGGTAAAACAAATATTTTCAACACTACCTCTACTCAGTAACGGTATAAGATACCTGAGGATTAAGAAAAATAGTTTTTTTATATTTACATTTATGCAACGTGATTAGACTCGTAAACTTTGGAATGTCGACAAATGCAAAATAATTCGGGTTTTTTTTTTTCGGGTGTTGGGGCACAATTTTGTTTACACCCTTTGAACCTTAATAATTTCTGTGCTTTTTGTCGAAAATTTCTGAAATTTCACAGGGAGATTTATGTACTAGGGAGATTAATGCTATTAAATTTTGATGGTTTAAGGTCAACGGGGTGAGGAGATAAAGGGGGTCGTGTATTGTATCGCGAGTAGGGTCGGAATTAATGACGATTTTACTCGTTATTAGCATTTACAATTGTCTTTTTTTTTAAAATAAAACCCGTCTCTACCCTCAAAATTAAGCTTTTTGCCATTTTATAATAACAAAAAATATAAATAGTTTTTTAAAAAAAATATCGTAACAGATGGCGCTACGAAAATTTTAAATGTTACCTGGAAAGTTAAGCAACTCTTTACTGGATTATTTTCTTAAATGTTTGTATTAATACAATTCAATTAATTAAAAATACCGGTTAAACATGCCATTGTAACACACCAAAAATCATTTTAAAGGCATTTTATAAAAGCATTTGTAGTGTACCTTCATTTTGGGAAAAGATTAACAATTTCTAATGTGGTTAAACAAGGGTAAAGTAATATGCCCATGTTTAGAACTCAAGAATAATTTATTCTTAAGTTCTAAAAATGAGCATATCACTTTACCCTTGTTTAATCATTCCCTTTATGGGCTTGGCTAGATTCACAATAGAGATAATAAGAAACGGGACCAGATATATCCGGGACAGATCTCCAATAAAAATCTCTCGAGGCCCGTGACCTCAACTTGAATCCGCATATCCAGAGTGGCAGACCGATGTCTACAATTTCGGCCATTTGGTCAGCAAACGCTGACCTCTAAGTCGTGTTTTTCTATTACACAAACAAGAAATGTATTATTGTTGAATTTATAATTTTCTCTTTCCATCCCGTAGGTACTAACAGGGTTTTCTTCCATGCCAATTATGAGTTCTGCCAGTCCCAAAACATTCCTGGGGCCTTTCGCCCGCCCGTATTCTTATGCCAGAGTCGGTAGATTAACTACCGACTCTGCTTATGCTGAATCATTAATTAATCGTATCATCCGGCTGTCAAATTAATTAATTTAAAATAATTTTTTAATTAAAGTTTTAGTTTATTACTTTATATATAAAATAAAAAATCAAATTAAAAAATTTATTGATTTATTTTAAAAATTTTGTATTTTTTTTTTTTTTAAAAGTTAGCGGATTAGGTTCGATTAGGTTTAACATATTTCATTACTCTAGATGGCGTTAGACATTATTCCTTTAAATTTCTATGGCTGGTGCGAGTATATATTATTCACTAAGGTTTACTTATCGATACTTTTCTTTATATTAAAATATTCCTATTCGAAACGTATCATAATCTAATAATAGAGATGCTCAATGCGTATATTAAAATTATAATTTAGCCACGTGCTCTCTCGCTGTCAGCGTGTTCAAATCGCGCGTGATCCCTCCCGCCATGTTTAGATGATGCAAAACAAAGGGTCGTGGCCCTACTGAGAAACCAACGTTTATTTCTTGAGCAATTTTTTCTTTTAGTTGGCATTTCAAATTTATTTAAATATTACTATTAATGCAACACTGCAGACATAATATAAAATATTAAATTTAATGATTACTGGATATGACAAAAGGTTATGGAAGATATTGCTCAGCAACTAATTGCCATAACTGCAAGGGCAAATTTCCCGACAAATGTTTCTTTACTTTCCCAAAAGACCTTGAAAGGTGAGTCTTATTTTATATTATAATATTGTATAATTATATTAAAATAATAATAGAATCCTGAATATATATGGTTATATTGGATTATTTATTGTTTTTCTACTCTATTTAAGACAGGCTGAATGATCTAACTTGTGGAATTGATTGACAAAATACTGTAATTCACCTTATTTATTTTTTTCAGAGTTGCTCTGTAGGTGTTTCTTCCTATTCGACTTGAAGGCTATTTCTAATGAAAATAATGTTCTTAAATAAAGTTCTTATATATTCTGTTATCAGAAATGTTCCTGATAACATTATATTCGAGCAGAAAAATACATTTATAATGGAAACCACAATGTGGTTTCCATTATAAATGACAGAGAAACATTGTGGTTTCCATTATAAATCACAGAGGAACCTTGAATTACTTCAGTGAGCCTTTACTTATGACTGATGTTTTCAATTGGCATAGGAGTTCTTCTTCTTTTATACAGTGATTTATATTATATATTATAATCTTTTGTGTCTACAAGAATTAGAACTGTAGAAAAATTGTTTCAAATGTAATGAATATAAACTTGAAGGCAATTACTATTGATAGCTGGGATGTTAGTGTTGGCCTACCATTACAAGAGATTTTGAATCAAATTCAAACAAAACCCTAGAAATTTTTGGTGGTGGTCTGATTTGGTTATGTCAGGCTTGGTTCCTCACTTCTTTGTGGGCTTGGCCCTTTCCTTAATCTCGAGAATGGAGTTAGATAGATGAAAGATGAGACCAGATTTTGAAAGCTTAGGGGTAGGAGGCCCCAATCAACATGAAATAATGTGACTTCTGGTTTGCATCAGAAGATTTTATATAGTTAATTGCTATATAAGAATTTCTGATGCAATCCAGAAGTCATGTTATTTCAATTCAAAAATTTTCCCCCGAAAGGTGTTAGATAGATGACCGGCACAACTCAATTGTTAAAGGAAAAGTATGATGTACAAGGGCAAGCCACTACTAATTTGAGGTGGAGAGCATATATTTTAAATTAAATAAATGATTGAAAATTGCAGCCTGGCATTGTGATGACGTCACAATAAATAATTGCACGTTATGTTTGAAATTATATGTGAAGTAAAAATATTATTTAACATAGGAAATTAATTCCTTATTCAAGCAGATGGAGTGAGAACAGAGAAAGAGGAGATTACCTCTGTTTAATATAACAAAAAAGAAAAGTACATGTTATCTTCTGCAATGCACATTGCTTATGCTATTTGGTTATTTTGTGTCAATGTATGTTATAATGCTTATTGAATTTTTCCCGTTTGTATTGTCACAAGGATTCTCTTGCTTCATTTTTTTTATGTTTAACTTGGTATCTGGTTCATCCCTTGATTTTTATATGTCTTGTCGATGATGGGACAGTCAGAAAGCACTTGGGTTTTCTAAATTGCAGTTTGAATAGCTGAAAAAGCAATAAATTGAGTAACACAACAGATTAAACTCTTCCAACTAGAAGTATAGTATAGTGTGCTCTTGCTAGTCTGAATTCCACTTTGTATGAATGAATTTTGTTTATTTTTCTATGTTGCAATTAAAAACAAAAAAAAAATCATAAATTATTATTTAAAAATATAATAAATCTATAAAATTTATATATGGTAGAAAATAGAGCCATAATTAGCCCATAATTAACCTAGTTTGAAAAGTTTATGGCTTGATATAGAAACTGTTTTGAATGTATTTTGTCTTTAGTATATTATTCTCTAAATACTAAAGCATTTGGTCCAACGGTTCTGTAATGCAAATAGTTATATCCTTATAAGCTGATTTGTCATAGTCTGTGAAAAAGTCTATTCTAGCAATGACTTGTTCATCTGACAAAAACTTTTTATTAGCAAAGATATTTGAGTTTTGGAAAAAGAAAAGAAATCTAGCAGAATTATATCAGGCAAATATGGAACTTACGGCATCAATTTGAATTGAAGTTTGTGACATTTGTCCATCACAATTACAAAAGCTGTTTGAAATGGTGTACTTTTTTCTTGACTATCCTTGGCTTTTTTTTTAATTTTTTTGAATCTTTCTATGCAATCTCACACATTTTAATATGGCAATCTTGTAACACAGGATTTTGTTGATGGTTTCTTTTGTTTGGTATTTTGTCCACCACAAAAGTCATCTTCCATTTGTAAACAAAGGAGCTTACTTTTTTAACCATTGAAAACAATGGAACCTGCCAGTTTCAATTTTAATTAGTCATATATTTGAAATGAATTCTTGTGAACAAACTTTCTGTAGTTTTTGTGACTTAATTTTGGGAAAAGGAGCACAGATACAGTACTGTAAACAATGGTGGTAGAAATATTTTCTGAAAAAGTTAATTAGGCTATATTAAATCACTGTTTTCTTGTGTGTTCCTTATGTGCCATGTATGATATTAGTTTTTACTTGATTTTAACCCATTTCCTAGCCAAGAATTGTAGATGACATTAACATGGCATCTACAATTCTTGTGTTTAGCACTTTTATAGCATACATGCAATCCTCAACATATATCTATCTTTGAACGATATATCTAATGAAAATAATAAGGAATTATTAACAGAATATATAAAAATGTATGGAATCATAAATGTTTTTCTTAACATTATAGTCAAGCAGAAAAATTAATTGTTTAAAATTGAATAAATTAAATTTGAAGGCAATTACTATTGATGGTTGAGATAGTTACTTGGGAAGAGAGTGAAATTTTAACAGATTATGATAGTTAAAACATCAGCCTACCATTCTGAGGGATTTTGAATCAAATCTAAACTGGACTTTTTTATTTAGAATTAGGTAACCAAGGAATGACCAATCCAGCAATCTGAAAAAGTTTTATTCAAGACCACTCACATGTCCCAATTCCAGTATGGAGGGGTTCTATCTTTTGGAAGGTGGAAAACTAAACACACTGCAAATGTTTAGTTTATGGGAATATGAAGATTTCCGTCATGTCCTCGTAGTTGCATCTATTAACAGTGCCCTAACTGAAGAAAAATGGACTATCTGGTTCATTGACCTTCAGATTGTCCCTGACAGGTTCTCATACCAAATGAGGATTTTAGCCATACCAAAATCTTTAGTTGTTCCTTAGGAATGCCATTGCAAAGTTAAAATCACTCGTCATTGTGATCTCAGGAGCCGTAGAATTGTCGCTGCTATGGGAGAAGTGACAACAGATATATCATAGTGAGAATAGGAAAAATTTGAGTATCAGTCAGATTTGCTCTGTGATGAGGTGAACACATTGAGAAATTATAATTAGCCAGTGTGAAACTTAGACAGTTTTCCAATGTTTTAATGCATACGACAATGTTTCCAGATATTAATTAACATAATTGCAATAATTTAAAATGGTAGCATTCTTTTTGGAAGACCCTGTATATACATTGTATATAAATATTTGCCTGATGTTTTCTTACAGGTGCAAAAGTTGGATTATAAACTGTGGAAGAGAAGATTTACTAACAAAAGATAATAAGTATCTATATAAAAATTGTTGCATCTGTTCAGATCATTTTGAGGATAAGTGTTTTCTTAATGACTTGAGGAACAGGCTTGTTCCTAATGCTATACCAACAATTTTCAATATGTCTAGCTCACCAGATATAGAATCAAGTGAAACAAATGAAAGTAAGTAGTTTATAATACATAGTTACATAGTTATATTTCTTACCTAATTGTATTGTAGAAAAAAATACATGAAAAATCAATTTTTCTTTCTTTTCTGACTTACTGAGGGTAGGTAACTCCAAATTTATAAAACATTATATCAATAATGAAATAAAAATTAAAGTTAAAAAAGGTAAAATCAAACCCAATTGCCGAGAAACACTTTATTACACTTTCAGACTCCCTAAATGCATTTCGCCAAAAAATTTAGGCCAGGATCCTCAGTAGGGTTTTCAGCATACAGTTCAAACTCTGACAATATTTTATCACGGGTTTCCGTTATGAATTTCCATCTATATATCCGACAAAAGTTTCCCAGCATGCAGCTGTTAACATGCCTGTATTTAAATTAACCATATTATTTTGCATAATTATGACAAAATGTCCTTTAACTTTTCTTTTTACATTAGTTTTTTCCTTATAAGCAATTTTTAAATTATTAATGGTAATTTCACAGTTATTAGTAAAACAATGATGAAAGATAGGAGAATTATTATATTTTAATCTTACATCTGCTAAATGTTCCAACAATCTGGTCTTCAATTTTCTCTTTGTTTCATCAACATAGAAACTCGGAATAATACACGTGCAATCGAGTTACATATTAATTTATACTATTTTCTTCTTAATGTAAATTCTTTAATTATTATTATTAGTTATATTATTCTATAAATTATTATGATCATTAATTAATGAACAGCTTTTGTTTCAATATCAATATACGAATGAGTTTTGAGTATTTATTATCGCAATTTTCTATTTTGTATGTAAAAATGGGGTTAACATGTTGATAATTTGATATACAGTATCATACTATTTAATATTTTTTCTTCAGATAATTTTTAAAATCTTTCAGATATTTATCTACTCACCAAAAAATCTTTTATTCCAACCACCAGGAGTTTAATTTTTCATGTAAATTTGGACAGTTTTTGACTTAAACTCCTGCTGGTTAGAGTAAAAGGTTTTTTGGTGAGTAGATTAAATTGTCCAGCTTTTGAAAGATATTATTTAGAATTGAATTGTGAGCCGGGATGAAGCAATAATACAAATAAGAAATTCCCTGTATTCAACTGTGTCGTAATTGATCAAATGAATGTCGAATTGCAAGGCCCTGACATATCCAGGCTGTTTTGTTGGCACTGGCTTGACCATAACTTGCATCTGAGAAAAATTTAATATTTGCTTCTAAATTAATTTTCATTACAAGAAAATTGTGATTAGAAAGGTAAAGAAATTATAAAAGAAATCTGCTGTTTCTATTTTACTCTCAGAAATTGTCCTAATTTCATATACAGTTAAACTTCTCTAACTTGAAGTTCCAAGGGACAGGAGAAAAACTGAGTTTAGAGAACAATTAAATATGCCAGTTCTGAATAGAATTGTATTTGTACGTCTTTTGCATTATATAAAGGATCTTTTGATAGTTTTTTTTTGTTTTAAACAGTCCATGTAACACCTTTCAGCAAAATGCTCGATGTAAAATAATGGAATTGAACAGTTTTGCAGGTATATTTTGTTGATATAAAGCAAGAGATCCTTTCACTTTGGACTGGAATGTTGTCTGCAAATGGATGTTGGTTAGTGGATACTACTCTCCGAAAATTTCATATAAATTAATGTTTGGTGACCATGAGAACATTCGACTTGGAGAAAATTTAAGTTATTGAAATTCAAGTTGTAGACGTTAAATTCCTATGCTATTCCATTGAGACCTATCAAGTGCTTCATTTTCTTCAAGTTAAAGAAATATTTGAGTTACAAGAGTTTGAATTAGAGAAGTTTTATTCATATTATTTAGATTAAACAGTCATCTAATATAGCCACAGCTCAAAACAAATTTAGATCATGCTAAATTATAGCAGCTAAAATAAAAAAACAACTGACTTTTCAGATTTTATTTTATTCAAGAATAGTTCAGCAATTATATTTTACTACTAAAAACATCTAAAATGATATATAGTTTAAGAATATACAGTAATAGAGATGATACGTAAAATTTATAATAATTCTACCATAGTCTTGATTTTGATTCCTTTCAAAATTACAGTTGGAATTAGTCTTTGATCTGGCAATGTGTAACAGTTGTTGCATAGTTAATTGTAGGTTGCTATGTCATTTTTATTCAAACACATTAAACAGAAACATCTTGAATATATGTGGCAATGATGCAAATTTATTCTGTGGCATTTTATATTATCCTAAAATGCTGTAAGTTGAATTATTACATTAGAAATTGATTACAGTTAACAGTGTGCTGAATAGATTTATTGTAAAAACTTAACTGATGTAACTGATTGATTAGAGTTTTTGATGTGAATGTAATTCATCATTTCAATAGTAAAATTTTGACAGTAGTTTGGTGGACTGATAGTCTACTTCTGATTGTTATTATAGCCGACAATATCTTAATGGAAAGTAATATATGCCAAATATAATCGCAAATAGAGTTTGGCATTCCAAAATTTATTTGTGCCAAAAAACCTTACGTACTCTGGTTACTTGTTAGTTGTGATAGTCTGCATTATAGTTATTTCTTATCATAGTTTCAGGTTTTCATGTCAAAATGCCATACAATGCATTTATTTAATTTTGTATAATATCTCAAATGGTAATGCATAATAATTATATTTTTTGTCTGAGTTTCATTTCCTATCTTCATTCAAACGTCTTGTCTACTATCTCTGGGAAGCACCATAAACAAAAATGGCGACTTTGTAGCATAGAAGGTGTTTTGTGTTCTGCAGTTTGCAAAGTCACAATCACTCATCATGAGAAATCTACAGGAGCCGTAGAATTACGGTTCAGTGGAAGGAGTGACAATAGATATGCTGTAGCAAATGTAGAATGAATTTGAGTATTGGTTGGATGTGTGACATGAAGTGCACCATTCTAATGGGCGAATGTGAAACTTGGACAGTTTTCTAATGTTTTAATGTACATTCTTGGATAATTGTTAACATAATAACAATAATTTAAAATGGTAGCATTCTTTTCGGAAGAGCTTGTATTTCATTATAAAATGTATTTTAATATAATTTATTGAAATATGTTAAGTTAAAGTTCATTTAAAAAGTTTATTTTTATCAGTTTAACATTTGTTATAGATTATACATAATATCTTTATTCTGATATATGTTAAAATTAAAATTAAGGATGATAAAATTGGTAAGGTGAGATTGGATACATTGTTATAGCATGTCCCAAAGATGTTTGATTGAGTTGAGTTTAGATCCAAATTTCATTGAATGCATTTGGGACAAACTGGAATGGCATCCAGTTTTGCTAGTAGAATTTTCCTCTAAGGAACTCTAGTAGGAGTTTTAATAAAGAAATAGAATGAAAGAATATCCATAATATATCTACTAGCATTTAGTGGAAGCATGCTTAGAAGAGTTGCTGTAGTCATTAATGCCAATTCCTGTCAAACATCCGTAGTTTTGTGGATTAATTTTGGGAAAAGAAACATGAGTAAAGACCAGTGGTTCTCAACATTTCTGAGGCTTCAGAAAGACTATTTATATAATTTTTATTACATGGAGCATTAGCGTCAATATATTCAAAAATTTGTAAGCAATTCCATGCTTATTATTCTCAGGAAACAACGAAGCAATCAACTAATATATTAACTTTAATGTATTAGAATATGATGAAACATGGAATTGTCTGCAAATATGGCAATTGGAATAAATTTGCAATAAAGTTTCTAAAATCTTTTTTCTTTCACTTGAGGCAGGTTTGAGGAACACCTGTGTTCTATGGAAACTGGTTAAGAACTGCTGCTGTAGACAATGGCAATAGAAAGTTCATCTGAAAAAGTTAGTTATTAAGATTAAATGAGTATGTTTCCACATATGTTCCTGATGTGTCAAATATGTTAGGATACAACATGCTGTTAATGGCATTTGCAACAACTGTTAATGGCATTTGCAACATGCTGATAATGGCAACAACTGTTAATGGCATTTGCAGTTCTTGTACATTGGACTCTCATACCTAGCACTTTTGTAGCATATATGGGATCATTGAGATGTCCACAAAGAAAAAAGTCCAAATAGATGATGTCAGGCGATCAGGTGGACCAAGAAATGGACTCCGGTGATCTAGACCTTGTGACTGGTGAGGTCCAGATTGCCACTGTGCAGCAGCAGCAGCATCCCTTTGAAGTGTATGCACATGAAACTTGGAGTATTGATAAACATTCTCTAACATATTTTATGTACATATCTGAAGATTTTACAGATCAGTTTAAAACTAGGGGTGTTCAAGAGGAATATCCCATATATATCAACTGTGTAGTTTTCTAAATATCCTAAATATTTTTAGATTATAAAACCAGTTATCATGTTTTGTTTATATAAATATCAATGTTTTGATCACGTCATTCCTCTGATGATCGGTTTTACAATCTGAAAACACATGAGATGATAGAAATTTCTATTCTCCAGTAGACTGTTTTGATACATACATCCAAATACTTTATGTAATGTGTATTGGTCTGAATAAAAATATCCTCATATGTATTGAAAAGAGATTTGTAAGTCATGAGTTTGTTTACTCTATGAAAAAATCATTACCATAATCAATTATTTTCCAAATTTCTTGTTTTAAAAATGTATAATGTAAAATCAAATAATTATTTTAATAGAATTTAATCTCTTCTAAGAATATATTATTTGATGCTTAGATGCTAAGAGAGACTATTACAAAGGCAAAAAGAGTTAAAAATATATTTTAATGTATATATAATTTTAAAGTTATTTTTAATGATTTGTAATATTTTATTAAAATAAATGAATTTAATTAAAATTATTACTAATTTCTAATTAAATTTCCTGTATTGTTTATTAAGAATACACCAGTTAATTTTTGTTAGAAATAAATTTTATTTTTTTAATATTAAAATACTTAACTTTTTCATCTAGGTATTGAAGTAACAGAAATTACAATTAAAAAGGAACCAGTGTGGGATAGCGATCCCGACGTTAATCATGACATTAATTTAGAATTAGATTTTGAAATAGAGAGTGAAAATATCAGAGTTGAAAATGGAGATAATTATAATATTAAAATTAATGAAGTAATGCAGGTAAATATTAACAATATTCTTTTATAAATAGAATAAATTAAATTATATTAATGCATAGTATTTTAAACTAATCTGATGTTTGGCCAGTGGTAAATTATGAGAATTTAAAATGCAGTGATACCTTGTACTTGAAATGATTTTAACCTGTAAATATTCCTGAGTTTGAATTTCTCTCAAATTCAGAATCCAATCTGAAATTTAAACTGCGCATATAGTGAAAAAGTGCACTCGCTGTGTAAATGTTATCTGTTGTGCATTCAAGTTGTCTCTCGCCCTTGCATTTCTTACATTACCATCATGTGTTTTTGATGCTTTTTTCTTTATTTTTGATTATATATATATTCCTGTCTATTAACCATGGCATCCAAGAAGAGTGTGGAAACAATGAAGTCTAAGAGAAAGATTGTAATTTCAATGATTGAGATGATAAAGGAACTTATTGTACAGTATGACATCAGTATGTGTGTGTGGCCATATTTAAGATGCTGAAGTTGAGAGAGTAAAACCAGTAATGTAATTTTTATTTTGTCATATGGTATTCATGTATTTTATTGTTTTCATGTTGCCTGAAGAAGAACCATAATGGTTCGAAAACATTTGTAACTTTATTATTTTCATGTTTTAATTTATTATTGTGTTATTTTACCTAAAATGATGTGTATTTGCTGTTTAAATTTATTGAAATGGGTATTGTTTAAGGTCTGAGAACAGATTAATTCACAATTCACTTGTGAATTAATCTGTTATATTTAGTATTAAAAGATGACTACAGATATAAGGCCAAATGATCTGTCAGACTGCATTGGGCTATATAATATAGAAACTATATAATAATTAAATACTAAAAAATTTTGCATAGTAGTAGACATTAGGCACCATCTCTTGATAAATTTAATAATTATAAATAAAGTAATATTTAATTTAGAAAGTTCTGTAAGGAAAGAATTGACCCAGAGTGTGACTCGAAGATGCAACTCCTCCAAAGTATGCAGATGCGTTGCCAGTTATGCTATCCAGACCACTGTCTAATCTTTGCCTCAAGAACTATTAATAATTTAAATATAATTATTCTAGTTGCTCATGGTGCCAACTGAGGATAACATAAATTTCCACATAATATGCCCTCCATGTCATTCAGCCAATTATTGCATTACTTGGCATGGTATATGTATACAAATATAAATAATGTCTACCTCTAGGCAAAATTACTTAGTATTTAAACAGGAAAGAGTGTAAAAAAGACTAATATAATTTGGTGTAATTATATGGTAATTGGAACTGAAGACATACATGATTTAGTTTTGGAGGAAAATGGAAAAATTGAACTGATTGAAGGATGTGATGAATATACAGTAAGACCCTGCTTAATGCAGGGGATGCATTCCTAGACAACCAAGCACTAAGCAAAACAGTATTAAATGAGGTCATTTTAACATAGAGTAAATAGGGAAAGGAGAACACAAGACCAAAAATAAACAAATTTTACTATAAATTTAAGTTATTTTTATATTAATTTTCATAATAATATATGTTAATATGTTAAATAATACATAAACATATGCATAGAGAAATCTAAAGTTCATTTTTTGTAAGGAAGGTCCTGGCTTTTCTGAAATTCTTGTTTTTTGTGATAACATATGGAGCAGAAGTGTGGGTATTAAATTCAAAATTTAAATTTAAATTAGAATCCACAGAAATGGACTTTTTGAGAAGATATGCTCGATGTTCAAAACTAGATAAAGTAAGAAATGAGGAAATTATGAAAAAAATGGATTATCAAAACTCTACAGTCGATTATATCCATAACAAACAATTAACCTGGATGGCCATGTTCAAAGGATGGAAGAAGGTAGACTACCACAACAGATATTGAAATGGATTCTGGCAAGCAGAAGGAGGAGAGAAAGGCCATGGACTACATGGATAGAGGAAGTAACAAAAGCTATGGAACACAAAGAGGAGAATTGTCAAGACAGAACAGAATGGACAAGAAAAGTTTGGGCACAGGAAGATTCTTAAACATTATTAACCTGTACAATAAAATAATAATAATTTGGTGTTGTGGTGTGAAAATAAGTTGTGAGGACCTCAAAAAATTTATTTGTGATTTATAATTATAAGACACACATAATGTGTGTGTTGAATTCATCTAGAATTTGTATTGTATTTACAAGTTAGTGTTTTAAAAGATTTTATTATGGTGTAGTATTGAACTAAAAATCTCAACAGCAGTAAGACTGAGGCACTGGTCTTCCACTCTGAGGGACCCCGGATAAAATCTGGACAAGCAACTCCCTAAGATTTCGTGGGCAATATGTCTCGATATGTATGGTCTTATCCCTCATCACCTGGGTGCCCCCATTGTGGGCTGGTTGAACACACAATGAATATGGAAGAAAAGAACCTCTTTATGCTAGTAGGGCAGAAAGAGAAAGAAATGAAAGGAAATTTAGTAAAAAAAAAAAAAATCTCTCATGTGTTCTGTAATGTTTTAATCATTTCATAGTTAGAACAAATACATTAACATGTTAAGTGTATTTTGCTTAATAGATATTCAAATATTAAATTTTTTTAACATTTAATTACAAAAATATACATTTAATTCTAACTTAATTCATTTTAGAAATAAATTATTATAATAAACAACAGTAGAAACTGGAGAAAGAACTTAGACATAAAACTACACCTTATATCGCTCCAAGCAAAATTTAATCTGCCAAAAACATTTTCGATCTAGTTTAATAGATCATCTTCAGTTGCTTAACACAGAAGTGGAATGGAACATAGAAAATTTAAACATTGGAGAAAAAGAATAGATATTCAAATATAAAAGTATGAGAAAATGGGTAAACAATCACAATTGAATATTAACATTAAAATAAAGTAATCTATCTATATAACCCATTGAACGCGTGTTCGTCTGCATAACGGTATGCCAAAAACGGGCACTAGAGGCGCCCTAGCGATGATTTTAAATTAACAATAAATTATTTTTATTTGCAATAGGAATTTATTATTTATACCACGGAATGGTATAAATAATTATTATATGCCTCGATTAACCTTGCGCTGCACGTTTACAACATCCCGTGACTCAGTGAACGTCGCGCATTGACTCACGGGAAATTTGTTGAAAAAATGGCAGATACATTTAAAATCGAGGTTTACAAGTGAAGGTAAATAAACAAATTAAACTATTTTAAAGTATTTATAGAATGTTTAATAGGTAGAAATCTAGATCCGTATGACGCAATTAGGGTTCAAATCTAGGACAGGATGACACGATTGGGACTTTGACAGAGCTGTAGAGCATATTGATAGGAACAAAAAAGTTAAAGGAACCGTGTCTCATGGGAATTTGTTAAGAACGCCCACTAGGGGGCGTCCCAGGCTACTAGTATGAAATAAAATACTTAAAATAAGCTAAAATTTGTATAACAATTTCCATGCAGTGTATGAGTCTGCATCCAAATAATTAACATGCTCGTAGATTACATTTCTAGTAAGTTATTTCTAACTGTTTTAGGCTATTTTTGTCATTCATAGACCTAACAATCTTAGCACAGTTTCAGATGGTTTCCATGTTAGATTTATTAGTGAATGCCAATAGAGCAGTGAGGAGGTTGCATCAATGTATTCACTTCTTTTTTGAACTGGTGGTCCTGTATAAGTATAGAGTAAATGCCAGAGGAACCAGAAGGATCCTCTGGCATTTATTCTATGGAGGTTTGCTATTAAGCAAAGTTTGAAAACAGTACGGTTGCATTTTAAAGCAAATCTCAGATCGTTGTCTGTAATTGTCTTTTGTTTCCTACATAAGGCAGGGAAGTACCTTAATGTTAGTCTCATTGTTTTTTTCATATGTTGTCCTCCTCCATTTTGTATGGGTGGAACCTCCCTAGTAGAATTAAGGAACGTAAACAGTCAGTCGGTGGATAACAGTTTGAGCAACACTACTTTATTGGCATTCACTAATGAATCTTAACATGAAAGTCGTCTGGGTCTGTGCTAAGCTTGTTAGGCCTATAAACAATGTGAGTACATAAAATCAAATAGAAGCTAGGATTGTGTTAATTATTGGGATGTGGACTCACCCACCGCATGGAAATCATTACATGAACTCTAGCTTATTTTAATATTTTGTTAAGTAATTAAATAAAAATTAAGAGAAATGAAATCAATTTACTTAGATTGTCAGCTTGATTTTTGAATCCTTTGAATATTGTTGAGTACCTACTATTTACTTATATCTACAAATCTTTGTTAATAAAGAAAGAAATCATTGAGAAAAATTATTGATTTCTTTCTTTATTAACTTTCTTTATTAAATTCTTTATTATGTCTTTCAGCTTTCTTTATTCATTGTTCTGTCTAAATCATCATCCTTTCTTAGTCTCCTTTGTTTAGCACTTCTCTTACTTCATTTTTTCATTTTCTCTGTGGTCCTACCTTTCTATTACCCTTGGCATTCTGTTCAGATAGTATTTTTAGTAGTCTCTCTTCATTCATTCTTGTAAAGTGTCCAAATCTTTATCTACTTTCATTTATACTATCTCTGATGGTCTAGTTCACTTCCATTTCTTACCTGATGCCATAATTTGATTTCCTCTCTAGTCTTGAAGTACTGCCTGATCTTCAGAAGTTGATTTCTGCCTCAATGGTTTTCTCCATTGCACTTCTCTGTTTGTTTATTTTTTATTCATACAGATTATTGGGAGCTAGCCAAATACAATTAATCTATAATAATTTAAAATTATTTAAGAAGCTTGGAAAAAATTAATTAAATTATTAAATGTTGATCTGAAGCAAGACTTTGAAGTCTGTACAAAGATGCAGACTAACTCAGGTTCCTCAGTTTTTTGTTTTCTGTATTTTTATATATAGGGTGTGCATTAAATTTTACACTGTGTATTGATGAATTTAGAGTTTATACAAGATGAAAACATCAGTCAAGGATTTTATGAAAATGGAAACTTTTCTGTGAATCATGAAGAAAATTTACAACATTTGAATCATAATGCTCCAAATATAATAACCTATATAATTAATATTTATCTAAAATAATTAAGATATTTTATAGCTTATTATTAATGTTTTATCTGAATTTTTATTTCACCAGCTACCTGAAAGTTCTTTTCAAGAACAAGAAGAAACGTGTATCATTAGCTTCAATGACAACTCAGGAAACAAACTGATTTTACAAAATGACAATGAAGATTCTACAAGTATTATCATATCCGACGTTGTAAGTTAAACTTTATTAAGCATTATTTCACTTATAAACTTTGTTATTTTTAAGTCTCATTTAGAATGGAGTGCCAGTGCTCTAACTGCATTAAAATGGCAGTCATACTGTACTTGTTGGGACAAACTATTCATTACATCAGTGGTTCCCAAACTTTTTTGATTCTCGGCATCCTTGCTAAATTCAGATTTTCCCAAGGCAAATTCTAACAAGTATAATTTGTGAAATAGCTAATATCTTTTTAATTAAAGAGTTAGGATGTTAAGTGAAAAATAAATAAAACACATATTTAAGATAACAAAAAATGTAATTGAACAAATTTAATTAATTATAATTAGTGGGATGGATGAGTCTGTTGATCACCACACATATTTCTCAAACCTTAGAATCAAACTGGACACAGCCATCCTCATTTCCTTCTCCACATTTGATTTTTGTGCAATGCTTAGATTTTATCACAGTGACAAACTCAGCTTTGTGCAAATAAGAAATTGCAAATGGAATTAAAATTCTCCAAGCTTTACAACTCAAAAGGGGATATTCATTTTATACTGATATCCAAAATTCAGTTAATTCCATGCTGCTAAATTTTGTTTTCAATGTATTGTCACAACACAACTTAATAAGATTCTCTTCTTCTGCAGCAGTAAATTCAGATGGAGCATTGGCATTAAATGGAATTTGAATCCATGCTATAAGATCTATAAGAGTAATTTTTGGCTGGGTCCAGCAGTCACCATATGATGTAGACTCCTGTAAGGATTCTACATCATATGGTGACTTTGGATGAGTAGAATCCTTACAGGATTCTACTCATCCAAAGTCAGCATATGGATTCTACTCATCCTGTAAGGATTCTACTCATCCAAAGTTGAAGTCGCAGAGATTGCTAGTACTCGTGAAAATTCAATAGTCCAGATTTTATTATGAGGTTCCCTAAGTGGCGGACTTGGGAAAATTATTGTGACCTAGATGAGAATACTTCTTGAAAACATTAAGTTTATTCAGAGAATTTATTAGTAAATTAATAATTATAACTGAATTATAGAAGTAATTTTTATCAAACTTAATAGGTTTCAAATGCTGAGAAGATTGATCTTCTAAATGGCAACGGTGATTGTTCTTTTCGTACGGAAAACTGTACTGAATCAAATTGGAATAATGAAACATTGACAAATTCTGAAGAAAATCAAATTTCTACTAGTGTCAATCATGTAAACTCAAATTCTCCAGATAATTTGATTATAATTGAAAGTAGTAAAGGTATTTTCTTAATTTTTAACCTTCTGTTAAATATTAAATGTAATATGCATTATACAGGGTCTTCCAAAAAGAATGTTACCACTTTAAGTTACTGTAATTATGATAATTATTACCCAAGAAGTATGTGATGTACACCAATTGATGGCATAATTATCCAAGTTTTATCTCCTGTCTTCATTCCTGGCTTGTCTACTATCTCTAGAAAGTGCCATGAACGAAAATGGCAATTTCACAGCAGATAAGGTGTTTTGTTTTCTACACTTCACAAAGTTGGAATCTTTCATTTTTGAACAGTGCGAGTAGTCTACAGGAGCTGTAGAATTGTGTCTGCTTCAGGAGTAGTGATGACAGATATACTGTAGTAAATGTAGTAAATGTTGGAAGAATTCAAGTATCAGTCAAATGTGTTCCATGCAACACAAGGTGCACATGTTGAGAAATTGTAATGGATAAATGTGAAAGGAGACTTTCACATTTGAACAGTTTTCCAATATTTTATTGTACATTATAAATTTCTTGGTTAATAATTAACATAATTACAACAGTTTAAAATGGCATTCTTTTTTGGAAGATTGTGCATTAAATTTTACACTGTGTATTGATGAATTTAGAGTTTATACAAGATGAAAACATCAGTCAAGGATTTTATGAAAATGGAAACTTTTCTGTGAATCATGAAGAAAATTTACAACATTTGAATCATAATTCCCAAGGAATAAATATGTTTCAAATTGAAAATGGAGAATATCTTCAATTGAATAATATTAAAGTAGAAAAAGATGATGAAAAGGTATTTAAAATATTTCCTACTCTACAAGTTAAGACAGAGCCGTAACTAGGGTATGGCCAATGTGGTCCTTGCCATAGGCACCAATTTAATAAAGTCGCCAACGAGAAGGTTTCGAAATTATATGTATTCTAAATTAATAACACAAAAAAATTTTTATATTTATATTTATAGAGTATTTAAATGTCATTAGATAATTTTTTTACAATAGCATTTTTTTAGAATAAAATTATTTTTTTTATAATAAAAATTAAAAATGCGCCATTTTTATTCTTGGCCATAGGTATCCAAAATCCTAGTTACGGCTTTGAGTAAAGATATAATTATATAAAGTTGAATTTCTTAATTCTGTGCAGTTTAAAATAACAGTATTTGTATATATTACTTTGTGTTTTCAATTTTATATATATAATTCTTTTGGCCCTATTATGACTACTTTTTTATGCCTTTCATGAGTTTAACAAAGCCCAGAACAAGAATACTTGGGTGGTGAAAGATGGGATGTAATTTATTGGGGATAGATCTTTCATGAAAATTTCTGATACTCGAACTTGAATCTAGATCTCTTAGAATGCCAAGCAGATGCCTTAGATTTAGATTAAATAATATAACAGATATATCATGATTATTGGCAGGTGATGCTCATCAAGTGATGGTATGTAATTTCACTATGTCTGTTGAAGCAACATTAGATATTTTTTTATACTATCAAACAACATACAAGCATTGTAATATTTATATGTTAATTAGATATCACTGTAACTTAAGGTGATATCTAGATAACATGCAAAATCTAATGGTGCTTCAACAGACATGCTGAAATGTCTACATCCCTAGAAGATTGTATGAGAGTATCCTGCCAGAAAGATTTAACAGATGATGTGCTCTTGGCATGCACATTACACCTGACATTATTGCTATGCTCATTGAAAAGTTTTGAAAAATTGGAAGTGTTTTTGGCAATCTTGTGACATCTTACAGATCCTTCTGAGAGGATGGTCTTTTTATTCTGTTTTTTGGAACATAGGGTATTTGGCACATCGACTGTGAAGAAGTAAAGAATTCTTAAGTATAGAAACTTTTGATTCACTGTATTAAGATATGTGGCACTTGTTATGTATATGTGCATTAAAGGAGTGAGATGAGTACAGTAGACCACCCTATAACACTGTTGATAATTCTGTGTTATATGAATTCCATGTTGTACGAGTCACTTAGATTTTACAAATAGGTGAGCTGTTCACAGCCCGGCATACGTGTTTGTAAAATCTAAGTGACTCATACAACATGGAATTTATATAACACGGAATTATCAACAGTGTTATAGGGGGGTCTACTGTATTATTGTATTGAATTAAGCTAGGTTGTATAGGTGCTAGAAATTATATATAAATTACCATTTTCATAACTACTTATAACTGTACTAGTGTCCAAAATTAAAGTAACAAACATAGATTATAAGATATTCAGAAAAGTACTTGGTAATTTGGAATAAAGTTTGGTGTACAGATACTTTATGCTATGAGGGACAAATCAGTGGTACAAAATGAAAACAAAAAACTAACTTGTAGAGACTTGTACTTATCACCAAGAGTTCTCAAACATGAGGCAGAAAATCCCAAGAAAGAAGAGGTTAATTAGGTTTGAGTCCATAGACCTACCTGGCCACTTTATTCTGGAGCATCCTTCTCTTTTAGGAAATTTATAATAAGCCAAGTTCTGTATGGCCTAGTGTCATCCATAAAAATGAAACAGAGCTGATAGCATCCTGAAAAAGCCTCTCGTATGGCTTATGGATCTCATTTCTTTAGCACTGACCAGCCAAAGTGCTCTCCTCAAAGATTAGCTGGGTTGTGTGTCCATTCAATGTGATGCCTCATACCTCCACCATAACAGTTTTTTTTTTTTTTTGTATTGGCGAATTGAAAGCTTCTTTTGTCCTCTTTGGATGTTAATGTGTCAAGAATCATTTTGCGAACTATATTAACATTAGTATATTATTGGCTTTTGAATTTTGAAAAACTTCTTATCATTTTTTAAATAAAATTTTTGTTTATTAATTTATAATAACTTTTCATACTTAAAATTTCAGTATGAAAAAGAGTCCGATTCTGTAGAATACAAAAACTATTATGAAAATTCCAAAAGTCACATCTATGAAAATTGCACAAAAGAGTTTCCTTCAGGTATGAAAAAGTTTATTTTTTTAGAGATAATAAATTAATAACAATTAATACTTATTATATTTGCCTATTATAATAAATACTGAGAAAAATTTTTTATAAAGCCATTTAACAAAAATGCTTTTGTGAATGTCAAGGTTTAAATGAAAATTTTTCACTAGTTAATTGAGCTATGAAGAGAAGACAAGACTTAATTATTAATACTTCTATCTGAACAGTTGTGTATATTAATTAGCATGAAGAAATGATATTTATTTATTGTTCTTCTTGTAGTTCTTATCTCCTTTTGATGTCATCTCGGTTCTTGTTGCATGTTGACATATTTGTTACAATGATTGTCATGCTTAACAATACTTACTAACTTTCCTGTTTGTGGAAAGCAGTTAGAGAAATGTTTAATTTGTTTTATTTAGTATGGTCATCCTGGAATGGGATATCATTAGTGGTGGACTGGTGTCTTCTCTAGAATTTTATTTCTCCTGTTGAATCCTGCAGAAATAACACGATCTAAAAGTATTGTTATTTTAAAAAGTTTTTACTCCAAGAAAAGCAATTTGAATTCTATAATATATTTCTCTTGTGTTCAAAACATTTTTATTGCAAATAACTTTTAAAAGCTGGAATTTCTTGGATAAGATCACACAAACGTGCTTTTGTATTTTTCCAGTACTAACTTTACTCACAAAACAGTGTGCCAAATTATTGTAAATTGGCCAAAAATGTTTGTTCTGTGAGTAAAGTTAGTTCTGGAAAAGTACAAAAAGTACGTTAGTGTGATTTTATCTTTTTTTTATTGCTTCTTGAGATATTTTTGACTCTTGGGACTATTACAAATTTCAATTGGAACCACTGTTATCTTTCAGAAGTTCAACAAATGGCCTAATATAAATTCCACTATGAAAAATTACATGATTCAAATGAGTTGTTGAATGTTCATTGATGACAATGTAATTGTGTTGTAACAAGATACCAATAACAAAATAAAATAGTAAAGAAAAAAGAGAAGATAGCAATGATTATTAATGATATTTTGATATTTTAAGTTAACTGTTTTTAGAATTTTTGTCTTGTTATGTTCTAGGACATCAAAAAGATACATTTATTATTTCAGTTATTTTGATAAGCTGATGCAGAAAAGGCATCAATCTGCTGCTCTGAGGGATCCAGTTTGAATTCAGACAGCTCCTTGGGAATTTTCATTGGCGGTTTTGTGTGTTATGTTGATCTCTGCCTCATGATCTCATTATTCCACTTTGCAGCTGCATTTGGCCAAACTGATTGATAGACATAAAAATAATTTAGCTATCCTGATAAATCAAGATAAACTGTAACATATATGGTTATATATTAGTTTAAAATATTAATATTATAGAAAATGACATAGTTTGGATTTTTTATTTTTCTGAAAGACCCATAACTCCAAACTATAAACCTCTTTCTGCTCTGAGAGCATCAAGAGGTTTATAGTTTGGAGTTAAAATAATATAATGATTAAAATATCATCTATTAGAATATCAACTATTAGTTTGTTTTTAAGTTAATGTCATTCTAGGTTAACATCAACAGTATTAATGTATTATTTAAATATCCAAAATTATTATTATAACCCTTATTTCTAACAATTAATTTCTTTGAATTTTAAATTAAATTTTAAGTTTTAATGTTATATGTAAAGTTATAATGTTATATGTTATATATGTTACCGCTAAAGCTTGAAACTCGTTAATGTGTACATTACCTAGCTAATCTGCAGATTAACTAGGGTGATCCGTTAAAGTTGCTAAAATTGTTCTATTTCTCAAATTACCTAGGTAATGTGTAGATTATCTAGGTAATCTGTAAATTACCTACTAGGCACTTGGTAAAGTGAAAATAAGATCTTTGCTGAAACAACAGCAACGTTTCTGTACGCTTAAATTAACATAATGTTCTTTATTTAATTTTCGATATCTAAAGAATCAAGTTAATACAATCAAAAAATTGACAAATTAGTTGATAGAATCAATCATCAACCAATTAAAAAACATACAAAAAATCAAACGGTTTAAAATATTAATACAATTAGGGAAATTATTATATAGATAACCACCTATGGAATTTCGGGACTTTGAGTATCTATCTGAACTGAGGGGACCGAGACGACTTCAACGATACCCTACTTTTGGACCGGAGACGAAAAATAATAAAGTTATCATACTTTTTCTGGTGATCGCATGATATAATTGTGCAGTTAATGTTACCTATGGTGAGTAAAATGGCGGCTCGTCTCTGATTCCAGCAAACAGAAGAAAGGAAACAGTGGGGACGCACGTTCTAACCTAACCTAACCTATTCTAATAAATTACCATAATTATTACCAACCAAATTATTAGAATAGGTTAGGTTAGGTTTGAACGTGCGTCCCCACTGTTTCCTTTCTTCTCTTTGCTGGAATCAGAGACGAGCCACCATTTTACCCACCATAGGTAACATTATCCAATTGTGCAGTCTAAAGATTGGTGACACTTTGAATTTCATAGCAATTGGTTTCTGCGACAAGCACACCTATTTGTGGTACATTTATTTGTGGCAAAGATCTTATTTTCACTTTACCGAGTGCCTAGTAGGTAATGTGCGGATTACCTAGATACTCTGCACATTATCTAGGTAATTTGAGAAATGGAACAGTTTTCATAACTTTAAAGGATCACCCTAGTTAATCTGCAGATTAACGACTTTCGAGCTTTAGCGGTAACGTATACATTATATATCATGATTCACACATGTTGAAAGCTTAAGAATGGACGACATTTATACATGAATAGAGAGCAGTGGTGCACCCAGGGAGTGGGCCAAGGGGCCTTCAAAGTAAAAGGAAAGGAACACTAGTAAATTTTCCAAAAAATATTTTTCTAGTTAAAATTCACTTTTTTATTTATATTGTGTTCTGTGTTCTATTTCTATATTACTCATGAATTAGCAGTCATATCAGGTGGGAATTTTGTTGAGTTTTGCATAAAAATTTTTCTACTCATTCAACCTGGCTCCCCAAAGATTAAATCTTGAGTGAACCACTGATAGAGAGAAGTGTAGATGAATGCAGAGAAATATGGCAAGAACCATATTACTTGATGTCAAATACAATTGTCTGTAAGTAGTGTAGGATTTTACAAATCAAAGATGTAAAAATAAGTATTTGTTGAAAAAAATACATAAACCAGTTGGACATAGTTGGAGAATGGATGGAAAGTATTTATCAATACCCAGTCAGAGAGACCTGTCAGTATGGAATATGTTTACTTTGAACTGCAGTGCAGCACTCACAACATCATGGCAGGCATGGCGACTTTATCTAGCTATCACTGTTATTAATCATGTTTCTCCTGAAGTTTTGGATATGTGTATATAAATACTAGAATGGTGACCAGGGCAAGATTCAGTCTGCTATTCTGGAGATTCAGGCTACAGTCTTGGTTAGATCTTCAGAAATTTTCTTGGTAGTTTGACATAGTATATTAAATCTATCCATTACAGCTCGATTGCTGCCATTCCAGTCCTCGTGCACTTTTCAAATCCTTTATGGATTTGAAAAGTGCTGGCTTAGTAGCAAAAAAGAGTTAAAAAATAAAGGCTAAATTAAGATTTCATTATGTGTATTGTATTATTTGTAAATAAATTAAATTTATCCTTAATTAAACTTATCAATTAATGTAAATTATTATCTTTACAGGATTTGAAATCAATGAAGAGCAAGGAACAAAAAATGCTTGTGGAATGATAAAAGACATTTTTACCTGTAATATATGTGAAAAGAAATTTTTTGCAGTTCAAGAATTTATACTTCATATACAGGAACATTTAGGAAAACAAAATTTTGAATGCAAATTCTGTAAAAGGAATTTTATTTGGAATTATACTTTAAAGAGTCATCTGTTTATTCATGGGGGAGAGCAGCATGTTCATTGCGACTTCTGCAAGAAGAGAGCCAGGACGAAAGTTACGTTGAAAAGACAGTCGTGGAACAATTTCAAAAGGAGGTTTCGGCATAGAATTTGGATGAAAAGATATTCATATAAATTATTTTATAAACGTCATAGAATAATGCAAATTAGAACAAAGAGTTTCAGTTGTAATATCTGCAGGGAGAAATTTCTTCTGAGGTCTGATTTATTGGAGCATATAAAAGTGCATTTTGGAGGAAATCGCAGCAGAGAAGTGCTTAAGCCAGTGTTGAAAGTGGAAGACCCGGATGAAAAGCTCTATTTAGAACATCATCCTTTTCAGTGTGAATTGTGTGAAAAACGATTTACTGCTAAAACTTACTTATTACAACATCAGACATGCCATACAGAAGATCAAGGTTTTCGTTGTCACCTCTGCCCGAAAATTTTCCAATGGAAGTCTAATTTAATAAAACATAGGAAATTTCACAGTGGAGAAAGACCGCATCAGTGTGATATTTGTGGCAAAAGTTTCATGGAAAGAGCGCAATTAGGAGAACATAAAAAATGCCATTCTGACGAGAGACCTTATAGTTGTGATGTCTGTGGAAAATGTTTTAAGTCGCGATCGAACTTAAAATGTCATAAAAGATGTCACATTGAAGAAAGACCTTTTGACTGTATGATTTGTAAAAAGAGTTATAGGACATGGTCGGATTTAAACATTCATAGCAGGTGCCATTCAGGAAAAAAGCCCCACAAATGTGAGTTTTGTGGCAAGTGTTTTAGAGTTAGATCAGCTTTAAGTATTCACAGGAAAAGCCATTCTAAAGAGAGACCTTATCAGTGTGAGATATGCAAAAAGTGTTTCAAACAGAAATATAATTTAAAACAACATATGAAATGCCATTCTACAGAGAAACCTTTCCAGTGTCAAATATGTAATAAGAATTTTAGGGAAGAGAAACGTTTAAGGAATCATAAAAAAACACATTCCCAGGAGAGACCTTTTCAATGTGATCTCTGCAAAAAGTATTTTAAAGAAAAGGTATATTTAAAACGGCATCTAAAAGCTCATTTTCTTGAAAGAACTCACCAATGTAATTTATGCGAAAAAAGTTTTAAGTGGCCAAACAATTTAAAAAAACATCAGAGAAAACATTTTGAAGTGAAGAGTTATCCTTGTGAATTCTGTGATTTGAAATTTACAGAGAGGTCGGCTATGTTTCAGCATCGGAAATCTCATGCTGACGAACGGCCCTATCCATGCGAAATCTGTGGGAAAGGATTCAAAAATAAAAAGCACTTAAGACGCCATGTAAAGAGACATTCTCCAGAGTTGCCTTATCATTGTGAAATCTGCAATAAAAATTTCAAAGATCCTTCTTACTTTTCTAAACATGTACGAAATCATTCTTTAGGGACAATTTATCAATGTGAGTTCTGCACGGAAACCTTTACAGAAAAATTACTATTAATGGATCATGAAAAATGTCATTTTTATGACACAATCTATCAATGTACTCTTTGCAAAAAGAATTTTGGGAACAAAGCAAATTTGGCGAGGCATGAAAAATTACATTCCGAGGAAAGTTCTTTCCAGTGTGAAGTATGCAAAAAGAATTTCAAAAACCACAGGTATTTAAATCAACACATGAAAATTCATTCGAACGAACGACCTTATCAATGCGAGATCTGCAACATGAATTTTAAAGATAAGCATCCGTTAAAGCGACACATACAATGTCATACTGACGAAAAACCTTTTCAGTGCGAGCTCTGTGAAAAAGCATTTAGGAGAAAGTCACATTTAGTACGACATCAGAATTGCCATACAGACGAAAGACCTTTTGAGTGCGGGTTTTGTCCAAAAAGTTTTAAGTTGAAATCTGTTTTAATTGAACATCAAAGATGTCATTCCGAGGTGAAACCTTTTCAGTGTAACCTATGTGAGAAAAGCTTTAGACAGAAGTCGAATCTGCTTCAGCACGAGAAGCTACATTCTGGCGAACGGCCGTTCGAATGCAAAACTTGCTTTAAGAACTTTAAAAATAAAAAATATTTGAATCGACACATTAAGACACATTCCGAAGAGAGGCCTTACCAGTGCGATTTGTGTGATATGAATTTCAAGGATAAGCACTTATTAAAACGTCATTTATTGTGCCATTCGGGAGAAAAGCCGTTCCAATGCAATATATGCAAAAAGTATTTTAGAAGAAAATCACACTTGGTAAGGCACGAAAAATGTCATACGGGCGAGAGACCGTTTCCTTGCGACATGTGTGAGAAAAGTTTCAAAAGCGTTTCTGAATTAAACGGTCATCAAAGAAATCACATGAAAGTCATTTATATGATGAAATCACAAGATAAGAAATGCGATGAATCATAGCTCAAGTAAATTGTGATTTCTAATCGAATCCTTTCGTTCTACAATAGGATAAGATGTAATAATTTACCATACCTCGAAGAAGTGCAATTGTGAGTGTTCCTCACAGACCTGTCATGATAAAAATATAGTTATGTGGACCAAAAACTGTGTGAATTTAGAAGACATGTTCCAAGAAATACATAAAATTATTTTCAATATTCCTTCTTAGTGTCTCCAAAGTATAGTTAAAAATAAATTACGATAATAAAACTTATAAAGTAAATATTGACTTCAAAGATTAAATC